TTTTTTTTTTGATAGGTCTCCTATAAGAATCTCTCCATCAGATACAGTTTTTTGTAGTGGAACCTTTTGTTTTCTTCTATATGGTGGGTCTTTGGGTTCAAAATCGATCAAAATTTCATTTCCGCTGTGTTCTGCTAAGGATCTGTTTAATATGTCCATAGATATGCTAAGTATAATAAATAATATATATTAAGTTGAAATGTACCTAGGATATTTTTTCACTGGTGTCTGCAATACTGAGTGCTCTATTTTTTTTAGTGGTATCTTTTGTGACACTAATTTTACTTTATGTGGAGTAGCTGGACTTCCTGATTTAACTCCATCAGTTTGTGTTGCTTGAACTTTTTGAGCACAAATTTTTTTTTCTGAAATAACACCATTTTGCTAAATATTGGTAAAAGTGTAAGCTATAGTAGAGTATGCGTACTATAATAACTACTTATTTTACCTAAAACTATAACTTTTTGTGGTTCGAAACAAACAACAGGATCCGGCGTTTTTTTACCATCTATTAACCTTTCCAATGATTTGCTACTAGTTGCTGATTTAAGAGAGACGTTATCAAATGAATTCACTGTATGAGATCTGGCAAAGCTCACGTGTCTCATTCTAAAAAAATATTATTTTTACACAGAAAAAGAAGTTATAACTAAAATTTTTTGTTTAAAGAACTATTTTTTTTTTAACAATGAGTGTCAAGTCGACAGTAAATTTTACTTGTTTCAACATTTTGCTGAAGATAGAGTGTTAATAAGAGAAAATAGGGAAGAAATTAATCAACGGCTAGATATATGGAGATTAGCTCTGGAAAGAAAGGGATAAAGAATAAATAGGAATATATAGAGTACGATTTTGAACCAGGAGAACACGAGGTAGGTAAAATGAGGAGATTAGTAACAATGGGAGAGGATGTGATTAGAGAGGTGGTAGTTTTAAGTATTTAGATCAAATGTGCAAAAGAACAGTGATATAAATGAGGATGTAGGACACAGATTTAATTGCGGGTGGATGAAGTGGAGAGAAGCGCATGGTTTGTTATGTGATAAAAGAATTCCAATGAGGCTAAAAGTTCAGTTCTATAAGACTGTAGTGAGACCATCTATGATGTATAGTTCAGAGTGTTGGGCGGTTGAAAAGAGAATGAGTGTAACAGAGATGAGAATACTTAGATAGTTGAGTGGAGTAACAAGAAAAGGATAAGGAACGAATATATAGGAGGGAGTATAGGTGTAGCGTCAAACGTGGATAAGATGAGAGGAAATAGACTTAGATGGTTGGTCATGTTATAAAAAAAGAGGAAGACTTTTTTGAATCATTTCAATTTTTTATTTTTATGTAAATTTTTTTTTAATTGTCTAAAAATTGATTTTATTTTTACAAATTATTCGAATAAACTGATGTGTATATTAAATCTAATCATTTTAAATAAATGAGCTCTTTAAAATAATTTTTTTATGTTATAAATAAGAAAACGTCTACTAAGTTTTGAAATGATTTACTAACTAAGACTGCCATAGTTATTAATTTGTCATTATAGTATGACAAATGTTAAAAAGTGACGACTAAATTTTCTACCAGTTTCATTATTTTATAGATTATAATCTACTAATAAAATTAAAACTTTTGATGGTTGATTAGAGGTTTACTAGTCGATAATTGAAGGGTCGGCGGGAATAACGTGCTATGTAACAATTTCTAAATTGTTCAGTATCAAGTAAAAACAAAATTACTTATGTTATTTCGTTTAAATATTATTTGGACTGCACGTAGCACGTTCTTCCAACTTTAAACATAATCAAATATCTAATTCTATAAATATATTGTGATAGACTCATAGCATGTTATTCCGTAAAAAAATGAAATGGGAAAAAGTGTTACATAGCACGCTATTCCCGCCGATCCTTCAATTGTAATTTAAAAATTTATATTTTATTATGGTTTTGTCATTGAATATGTAGAGCAATGTGCGGTATTATCTGATTGTGTGTTACTGCAGACTTCTTTAATTTGATTTATGTGTTAAGAAAAAAAACTTTTTTTAAAACTTAAATTTTAAATTACGATTTCGTGTACTTACCTTGAAATTGAGCTGGGTGGTGGAGGAGGTGGCGGTAAACAATGAGGGATACAATGGTGAAATTCGGTGTAATCACATATTCCTGATAATCGTCCATGACAAGTTGCATGAAATGATTTGTGGGAAAAATCCTGTGAATAATGGATGGCATTATGCAAAATTTCATTTGTTTAAAATATTTAGAACCCTTATAGAATAATAAAGGTATATACCTCGTCCTCTGGCGGCCAACACTTATGTCTTCTGATATACGAAGACTTTTGACTTATAGAAGGAGGTGGAGGAAGTGATTCGCTAGATTGGTGACAATGATGCACATTGAACACATCAGGGTGGCAGTGGTGATATCGGGTCCATTGTGGATACGGGGCACAATCAGCTGGCAGCCTTTTATACAGTTCGTGTAAGTTTTCGTCACTCGGTATTCTTCGACGTACACATGCTGTTAATAGGTTTGGAGAGCTTCTGGTATTGTAAGAAGATTCCTAAAATTGATTTAACTCAATAAATAAACCTATGAATCGTTTAACAATTTTTTGTTATTGTATAAAATTTGTTAATACTCTGTGGCTGGATATGCATCCGAACAACGCTGGTGGTTGTCTGACCCTGTTTAATACTTGTAGTTGTTTATCGTTAAGGCAATACTGTTCTACTATATCTTGTTTTGAGTAGAACTGCTGGCTATGATTAACTTTCGACGCCTGTTTTTTATTCTCGTCTGAATCCATTGAATCTGTTGTGTTCATATTGGCCTATAACCCAAGAGAAAATAGAGTTAAACCTAAGGATGTTTGGCAGTGAAATTTAAAATTAACAATTAGGAGAGAGATGTTATGTAATATTTTCTGTAAAACACATGCTGTGATCATTTTTAGTCATACTACCCATTTTTCAAATCTAAATTTCAAAATAATTATTCAAAGAAGGTGCATTCTCTCTACACTCTTTTCAGAGCACTGAGCTTTCAATAGTATCTATTTTTACACATTAAGAACCACTAATAATAAGGAGAGCTACGACTGAAACAATCCCTATAATAATTATTTATTACATACATTCTTAAAAGTATGCAAGTGTATACCTGATTTGTTACATGATTGATTTTTCCTTTTACTGCAATAGTATTTGTGTTATTGGTATCAGGCGAAGTCGTCACAGCTGGAGCTATATATATACGAGTTGACGCCCGGTTAAACGGTCCTGGAACCAAAGAAAATAAGATGAAAAAACAATTTTTTGTTAAGTAATTTTTATTTCATTTAAATTTATATCAGGTCTAGAGATCATCAAAATAATTTATTTAAAATGTGACTAATTTACTAGTCACTAAAATGAAATAAAAATCTGATATTTTGTGACGTATCTTTTGATTGAGTTATGTAAGAATAATGATAGGCTAAATTAATTTTATCTCTTATTCGTCATTTTTTTTAAGTGAATTTCAAAAGAAGATTTTTTGTTGCAATAATTTGTTTTAAGAATGGTCATTATTTCTTATTGGTTGGTCCACTATTTTAGCTTCCCTTTACTTTAATACATAGGCTTTTTGCGCGTATTGATTCTTTTTGTTCTCATTTCCATACGAACCCAAATTAACCCGATGTTTGTGGTGGATTTCTATATAATGACATTTACACCCTTCTACTTTCCTCTTTCCAATCTCTCTTTAGTATAGCAAGCAAATCCTCAGTTACTATTGAGGTCGAAATTGATATCATCGAAGCTCATTTTTCAACTGCCATCCTTTGTTGACGGCAGAGGAAAATTAATGATTGTATTGGTCGTGGATACGAAGGAACAAAAGAACATATAGAGCTGTTTATAACCAGGAAAATGTTTACAAATTTTAAATAAGTAAAAATCAGTTTGGTGAATTAGTGATGGTATTATTTTGGAATATTTATTCATACCTTAATATTATTTTAATTGCATTCAAAGAATCAAATAATAATAACAATTTGAAAGAAAGCTAAGAATGGAATTTTTTTTACTAATAATATTTATAATTTAAAATCTAATACACTTGTTATCGAAATGTTTTTCAAAACTTCAATGTTACAATTTTTCAAAAATATTTTTATTTTTTTTTTATAAATTGATAATTTTTATAATTATCATATCATTGATATACTTTTCTATACGTATACATACAGATTTATTATTTAATGGACGTATCCAAGTATTCAGTTATGAGCTGACGTTTCAGACTCGTTGCAGAGTCCTTTTTCAGAGCGATAGTTACAGGTTCGTGGTTGTAATTATACAGCTTAACTTGTTTACTGTATGTTTTTATATCAGTTTATAATTGATAACGTCGATGTTGTTTTTGTCGTGTTGTTGTTAACAATTGTCAGTTTGTTGCTTACATCCGAGTTTTTTTATATTTACGGCATTCTTGGGATTTTGCACTTCGTATTTTACACCAGAAATTTTCTATTATGTTAATTATAGTTTTTTCACACATTAAGCTATTTTTTTTGTTGTTTGTTGATTTCTTTTTGCCTGGTGTATGATAAACAACCAAGATAAAATAACAACAGATAAAGAACATTGACCTTATCAGTTATTAACTGATATAAAAATATACCGTAAACAAGTTAAGTTCACAGTATAATTACAACCACGAGTCTGTAATTATCGCTTTAAAGAACGAGTCTGAAACGACAGCTCATAATTGAAAACATTTAAATCCGTTGATTGTTTACACCCGTAAATAGCTTAAGCAATGCGTCAATCTACGAAAGCTTTAACACATTTATTTCTTGAAGATAATAATAATTTGGTGATTTTTTTCTTAGTTTTATTGAGTAGTATTTATTTAAATATTTTTAAGTCCATTCTTCATCATAAGAGGATCATTTTAAGGATCAATTAAATTTTTTAATAGTAATTAATTAAAAATAAAATTTTAAATAGTAATGTGCTTTGGGTTTATATATATTTAATTATCTAAAAAGTTTGAATGATCTAATTAAGAAAATGGCTGGTCAATAATAATTTTGAGATCAGTATTTTGAGAGTTATGACAATTTCAATACCTGAATAGAATGAGTATCACTACAGAAAAATACTTATTATAAATTATAATAATAAAATGTAATTATGTAAATATAAAAATAACAACCTGCTATACACCCCAGTTTCGTATTATAAGAACTAATAAAATATAAATGAATAAACATATAATTAAACACTCTTCGAGTATTTATTATTCGAGGAATAAATAAAACTAAACAAAAAATAATTCTCAAAAATATAATTACTTTAAAAAAACATTGACCTTTAAGTTTTTTCTATATACATGCTAATCGGTTTATTAGAAAAAGCCCAGCACAGTGGGATCGCGGCATAGTAAGGACGTTGCATAGTTGGGTCCAGTATAGATTTAGTCTGACAGTGATTAAAATCACTATCATAAGAAACGCTTCGATACAAATCTGTAGATAGTGTTTAATTCTAAGAAATTAAGGGATAATTACAAAAGTAACATCAATTTCTATTTCCTTAATTATACCCAGATTAGTAATTCTTTTAATCATATATTATATAATTTTTAAAATTAATTGTTTTAAAACTATTATTGATTTTGATTTTTAATATGTTAAAAGTAATCATTTTGAACCTACTTTTTTTTGTCCTTTAAAGTGAAAGTTTTAATAAAAAAAAACGAATTTGTTACCATAACTTATAGTTCAACTTGCAAGTTTGAAATTGACATTATTAAATAGAAAAAAGTGAAATTTTAAGATTAATATGCAATCAGGGAATTTTATAATTACTATTTACAGTACATTTATCAGAAAAATTCGATTTTTTTTACATTTTTATCGTAATAGATCACTTAAATAAAACTCATAGTAATCATTTCTAATTAACTTATGGTGTTTAAAAAGATTCTACAATGGAAATATTCAGAATTTAATTAATTTTAATGATTATATATCTAAAAAAACCAATAAAAAAAAAGTTGTTAAAAAGATTTACTCAATGAGCGTATTATAAAATTTGATTATAATTGTAAAAATCCATCGTTAAATTCAGGTGAAACTAAAAATCATTTTTTTTTTAAATTTATGATTTATATAGCAACATGTTACAAAAATATTTGGAATATTATAAACTGGTAGTAGCACACACAAATAGAGTTAAAAATTAATAAATTACAAAATAAAATTATTTACTTTTGTAGTTGAATACTTTTATCAAATCTAATTCGACAATGAATACTTTAAGAATATTAGAAATTAATGATTTTAATTGTTTGTATGGGAAAAGCTGGTTAAGGTACTTTTTGTTTGAATAAGGAATATTTTTTCGATTTTTAAGAGTAATAACTTAAATTAATCATTAACTTAAATATCATAAACTTAAATTAAACATTTGACGTATCATTGAAAAAAGTAGGTCTAGTGAGGGTTGGCAAAATAAATCGTAGCCACAAAAAGAACTACATAGTGAAATAATATTAACATGAATATAAATTTCTTCTCACGAGGGGAGACTATAGTGATAAGATCCTTTATCTTTATTGATTAATTAAATCTAAATGAGATAAATATCAAATGATTTGAAAATTTTATTCTAACTCAAAAAAATGCAAAATATTAATAGGCATAGACGGAATTGAAATTCGTACCGTAAGCTTATAAGACGCAAGTGTTACCAACTAAGCAAATGTTCGTTGCTTTCGACGCTTGATTAAATTGGCTATTTAAGCTAAGTCAAATTAAAAAAATTACTTTTTTGACTTTAAAAAAAATAAAAAAATTTTTATAAGTTTAATTTCTTATGTCTTATGAACTTTATTCTATGTCACTTAAATTATAAAATATTCATGAAAGTCAGTGTATTGCCCTTATAAGATATTTTAAAATAAAATAAAATACAAAACCCAGGATTTTAACACAAAAATAGCATATTTATGAATACGGTAGCCATTTGCGCATAGAAAATAGGTCGTCGGGACAAATTTTTTTTTTTTTAATTTTATAGTATATGAAATAAGCTTTAATTTGACATATGTTTAAAGGACGCAGTATTTCCTGAACATTTTCAAAAGTTAAGTTGAAAAAGTTAGTTTTTGTAAAAAAGTTGCTATTTTAAATCCACCCTGTGAGCGGAATAAGTGTTAGATTTTCAAAAAAAAAAATGATATCAAATGAAAGGGAAATATCTAAGGTTTTAATATAAAATAAATATTATTTTGATTTGTTAATATTTGAAAAAGTTATGGCAGTTTTAAGTACAAAAAACATCTCGATAAAAGGTGATTTTTATCGTAAACATTACATTTTTTTTTTAATTTCGACAGCCGTTTACATGCAGAAGATAAAGTCCTGAAAAGGTACATTAATATATTAGAAGATATGTATGATGGAACTTGTACTAGGGTAAAAAGCATAGGAGGAGTATAAGAAGGTTTTCGGGTAAGAGTAGGAGTTCACCAAGGTTCTGCTTTAAGCCTTTACTTATTCTTTATAGTGATGGATGAAATTACTAGAGAAATATAAGGAGAGGTGCTGTGGTGCATGTTGTTTGCTGACGATATAGTGTTAATAGGAGAAAATAGGGAGGAAATTAATCAAAGGCTAGAGGTGTGGAGATCAGCTCTTGAAGAAAAGGGTTTAAGAATAAGTAGAAGTAAGACAGAGTATATAGAGTACGACTTTGACAAAGGAGAACACGAGGTAGTTGAAATGAGGAGGTCAGTGACAATAGGCGAGGACGTGATTGGAGAGATAGAGAGTTTTAAGTCTATAGAGTCAGTTGTGTAAAAGAGTGGTGGTATTGACGAGGATGTAAGACACAGAATTAAGTGCGGGTGGTTGAAGTGGAGAGAAGTGTCTGGCGTCTTATGCGATAAAAGAATTCCAATGAGGCTGAAAGGTAAATTCTACAAGACTGTAATAAGGCCAGCTATAATGAATGGTTCAGAGTGTTGGGCGGTTGATAAGAAAGTAGAGCAGAGAATAAGTGTAGCAGAGATGAGAATGCTTAGATAGATGAGTGGAATAACAAGAAAAAATTGAATAAAGAACGATCATATAAGAGGGAGTATAAGAGGAAGACCAAAAAAGAGATAGAGGAATGCTATTGAATGCGATAGCGATGAGGACAATTGATGTGAGCGTAGATGATGTGGGAGATCGTGTCAAATGGAAGTTTAGAATAATGGTGGTCGACCCCAAGTAGTTGGGATTAAGGCGAGGAAGAAAAAAAAAAACTATAACTTTGAAATTTTTCATATTTTTATTTAAGATTATTCCAAGTACAAAGTCCAGTTTTCAGTAATAATATATTAAGTGACTCTTTGTTTGTTAATCTCAGTAAGTTAATAGTACAGGGAGTTGCTCTTATCATAAACCATTTAATTAATCAAAAAATAGATAATTATTTTTAATTTTTTGTTTCTTTTAGTTCAATGTTTTTCTCAATTTTTTAATTATAAAGTTTTTTTATATCCAGTTATTATAAATTTTAAGTATGTTAACTTTTATTTCTCAAATAGCAATACCCTTAATCAACTATCTTATTCAGTAGATAATGATCTAATGAGATAAATAACTGGTCAATAACAGTTTTTGAAATTATTTCAGAAATTATTTACAATTTAAACTAATAATTAGAGGTGATGAGTGAGTGTTGCTGTTTTGTATAACTAATCATTTCTTGACCGCACTATTCGTTCCATCAAGTTATAAAAATGATAATAACTTCCAAAATACTTTAAGTTACCTAATGTTGTTATCGACCAGTCATTTTCTTAATTAGATTATTTTATATTTTATAAGCCAATTAAATATGTAAGTTCCATTAAAAAAAAAAAAATAAAGTTGACACTCCTTTAAGTTATAAGGGAAGATTCTAAATAGTAATTATTAATAATAAATCAAGAGATTTATGTAACTAAAAAAAAGAATTTTTTTTTTCATTATTGTATTTATTTTAAAAGTAATCGAGTGGTTTTTGATTAACCGATCAACTGTATAGCTACTACTGATAGTTTATTACATTGAACTTTTTTTATTTAGTTTTGTTATATAACAAGACTTTTTTTAATCAAATTACATATCTGATAGTAGTTGGTAATTTTATATGTTAGCCTTGGGTGCAAACTTTTCAGTTTTGTAACATAAATGAATAAATCTAAGTTACTCATGTAAAATATTTAATATGCACTTTGCTCCAAATTTTATTTTATTTTGTTTAAATTTATATTTAGATATATCTATAAAAGATTTGTAACATTATTTTGCAGCTATTTTCGTTAAACCTAATCATAAAAAAAATATTGGCATTTTTTACATAGTTATTATCAGTACTGACTTATAGACGTATATGAGCAAGAAAATATGTTTCATTCATTATTACATAATATTTTTTTATGATATTTAGAAAAAGGAATTTAATCGCAAATAAAAACCAGTGAAATAGTCAATTAATTATTTTATGTATTATTTATATAATTTCAATAAAGTTTTGTTTGGCCATCACTCTGAGTGAGTGCAGACATAAATTAATTGATTTAGTAGAACTACAGCAATACAATTTAAGAAAATGGATCGGTGGCATGATTGTATCGCTTTAGTTACTGGATCATCGGCAGGAATTGGAAAGTCAATCGCTATTGAATTGGCCCGTCAAGGCATGATTGTTATCGGATGGGCCAGGCGTTTAGAAAATTTAAAAGTGAGTATTATTGATAATTTTAAAATAACATATTTTTTTTTAAAAAAATTATATAAAATTATATTAAAAATTAAATAAAAAAGTAATTAGAATTTTATTACTTTTCGAATAAAACGTATTAATGTAATAATTTTGAAAGTTAATTTTTTTATATTAATGTATAAAATATAAATTATTTTTTAATCATCCATGTTAATAGCAGTTTTTTTTAAAAAAATGTTCAAATAATATCACTGAGTAGAAGAAATGGCATCTTGTATTATCATAGGAACAGAACATTGAATTCTTTGTGATATTATATTTAATAATTTTGGTTTTCCTTTCGAGGACTAATGGTCAAATCTGTATTTAAGTTTTTTCCCTGAGTATGATGCATTTTAAATATTTTTGTATTTCTAAAAATTTCATTTAATCAGATTTTAGTTAGAAAAATATGATTTTTTGGCTATAAAAAAGTTATTTGTTCTTCAAAAATTTCCATTAAAATGTTCTGCCCAGAGCCATTGTCTCAATAACATTCATAAAGGCGGGGTAAGTATATAAATCATTTATTTTAACTATAATTTTATGACAAGTAAAAATATTTCGTGATTGTGAGTAAAAAAACTCCTCACCTGACCCCCTTCCTCCCAATAACATCTGATATCATTTTTATTTAAAAATCGATAAAGGTTATAGATTTCTCCGATTTTGGTCCCACAATTCTAAAGTATTCTAAAGTTTTCGTTGCTCTAAAGTATTTTTACTAAAATGCAACGGGTATTATTTTCTCATATCATTAATGATGAGCAGGAATGGTTGAGATCATAAAAATTGACAAAATTATTTATTGCATGATATGCCAGTGGAATAAAAATGATTTAGTTTTTACTTTAATACTCAACGCTTTATTTGAACATTGATATCAAGATTCTATACTATTTATAATTATGTCGTTTATTAAAAATATAAACTTTGTATTGTTAAGATTATAGAAAATCAACTGTCAAGCGAAGGGAAAATTTTTGTTGGGAGGAAATGTGACGTAACTCAAGAAACTTCTGTCAGTAATGAAATTGCTTGGATCGAAAAAACTTATGGAAAACTACATGTTGTTGTTAACAATGCTGGAATTGGAAGAGTTGCTTCACTGACTGGTAAACATTCACTTCAATTATTGTATATGTGAAAAAAAAAAATGTAGTGGTTAAAAGGTTTACTAATAAAAATTCTAATGACAGTACATCTATACCGCTATTTATTGGTTTTATAATTGGAAGTTTGATATATAAATTATTAAAATTATTATGTTGATCTATAAAATTCCACACGTTTAATGTATACTTTTAATATTAATTAAAATACTATACTTGAGAGTTATGAATCAGAAAATCTCATTATTATTGTTTAACTAATAAATTTCAATAAAAAGTAATTATGAGAGATATTTTTAAATTTTATTTAATAATTTAAGTTAATGTAATTTTAGAAGATCATAATAACAATAACGATTATTTATAAAATATAAATTATGCTATTAATTTAAAAATAAAATGTCATTATTTACTTGTAGAAGGTAAAACACAGCTATGGCAAGAAGTTATTGATGTGAATGTTATTGCTGCAGCAGTTATCTCAAGAGAAACCTTAAAACTTATGAGAAAGTGTGGAATAAACGATGGACATATATTTTTTTTAAATTCGTGAGTATAGATTTTATGATTTCTTTCTATTATAATATTTTATTGCAATTATAAAAATGACCTTACAATAGAGTATTAATAAATATATTTAATATTTTAATATATCTGTGAAGTAAATGATTTATTTGATAAGATATGAAATTTCCTTATATATTTAAAGAATGTGATAAATTGTATATTAAAAGTGGAGTAATTAGAGTTTTGTTCTGGGTGGAATAAATACAAAAAAAATGTCCCCACCAAATAAAAAAAATTGTATCTTTAATTTAAAAATAATTTAACTTTGAAATTTACTTTCATTTTCACCCCTAAAATTACGCCCCTTTGTATGAAGTGCTTCAATTCTATAAAATTAGAATTTTCATTTTATTTGTTAATGCTGAGCTATATACGTTACTTACAGTGTCTCATAAGCTAGGTATGCAGGATGTGCAAGACACACAAGCCTTGGAAATACATTGGGAAAGGGTCCCATTATTTTTTAAATTGCGATAAGAAGAGAGATGGCTACTATCCGGAACTACACAGATTACCAGCTTAATAGTTGCGGCACTTGTTATGTACTTTAAAATTAAAAAAAAATAATCTTTTATCATATAATGTTAAGAAAGTAAAGTAAATTACCCCGAAAAATCTTGTTAAAGTTATATGATTTATGCTAACTTGGACAACATTTTAGGCCGATATATTTTTATCGAAAATTTCTTAACCATTTTTCAAAATGTGTAACTTGTATTTAACTTGAAATATCATCAAATTTTTATCTCTTAATCTGCCCTTTCAAGATTATATCAAAAACTATCTGATTGATAACATCCATAAGATTTATTTGTTAGTATTTATATTATTCTAAAAAGCTAGACAATTTTTGACAGCCTAATCAGAATCTTTAAATCATACCATCGTGAATAATTCATTTTTAGCGAAAATTTTATTTTACACATTTAAGATTTTTGTTTACACTTAAATTAAATTATTTTACCTTATGATTTTTTTGGACAATCTTACGGATGTATTCAAAAAATTTTTATTTTATCTAGATTTTTAATAATTATTTTCCGATTGCTACACATGTAAAAAATATTATTTTAAGAATAAAAATAATTAGAAAATTTGATTTATAAATAGTTTAATGATCACTATAATTTGACTTATCGAAATATGAATTGTCTTATTTTATGAAGGGAGAGATATTTTTTTAAGAGACAGTGATTAAAATTCTTTTGTTAAAATATATATGCTTGTTTATAGTTTGTTGAATATTATACACACTGATGATTATTTTTTGATCAAACCGTATTTTTAAAAAAAATGAGAAAAAAAAACTCAGTATATTTGGAGCCCGGAATAATTAGGACAAATATTAATTGATATCTGATAATGATTACTATCATGAAAATGTTTCGATGCAAATATCTGTTTAGGAATGATGATGATATTGAATGAAAAAAAATAAAGGTGTCATAATTCCAGCAGCAATGTTAAAATAACTGAATAGTAAAAAATAAATATTTTTAAAATTTACAAATATTTTTAGTTTTGACTCGAAGCTGAGAAGGTATTAATTTTACTATGATGTGTTTTGCCTGTTTTTGTATTAGTGTCTGTCGCTACTTTTTCTCAGATCTCACCGATCTGATTTTTTTCAACGATAAGTCAAAGATCACAAATCGTATCAAGTTAGAGACATTGCCCTAAAAAATTAAAAAAATTTCTTTTGTTATTTGTAAATGAGGGTAATTCCCCAATATCTGCCACAGCTTTTTCAAAAATGAAAAATTCTAATTTTTTTTTTATATATATAGAAACCTTAGGTATTTTCTTTTTATTTGATACAATTTTTTTTTTTAAATCTGACCCTCTACCTCTCCACAGGGGGGATTCAAAATAGTAACTTCTGCACAGAAGTTAAACCTTTTCAACTTAATGTTTACTTTTATACATATATTAAATTACAGGTTATATAGTATACTATATAACTATAAAAAAAAAAAAAATTCGAAATATAAATTTTCTTCTTGGTGAAAATGGCCACCGTATTTAAAAATATGCTGTTTTTGTGTTAAAATTCTCGGTTTTGTATTTTATTTTAAAATACCTTACAAGGGAAGTACACTGATTTTGATGAATATTATATAAATCTAATTGACATAGAATATAAAGTTATAATTATTTTAATTTTTTTGCTTCTTTTAAATTGTGAAAAATAACTTTCAAATTTTGAATTAGCATAAATTGCCATTTTTATGTAATGTACTGTGCAATGTTGTGTCGGTAAAAATTATATCTATAACGCTTGGGGTTCGAGGTTCAAACCCGCTTGTGAGAGAAAATTTTTTTCTTAATTATTTTTGAGTTAGAAAAAAATTTTCAAATCATTTGATTTTCATCTATTTATAAAATTCAATAACTTCAATAAATATTAAAAAAAATTATTTCAGTTCTAAATACAGAAAAAAAATTAATGTTTATTGTTTTCGAAGGCATCCTAAATTTGGTATTTTTTTAAATATCTATAATTAGAGAAGTTTTTTTTATTTTTTTGAAAGATATATCATCAACTAGATCATGATTATCTTTATTTTATGTATTGTTCATTAAAATAGGTCCAGTGACGGCTGAGAAATTTCATTGACAGATACAATAAAAACACATTACAGTAAATATTTTACCTTCTTAGCATCACATCGAAGCTAAAAAGAATTTAGGTACATATAGCTTAAAATACAAATTAGTAAAAGTCAAGGAGTGATTGCCGCCTCCATTGAACTTCTAATACGTTTTTGATTTTTTATTTCTAATATACCTAAAATTATGGTTAACTATTAATTTTCAATTTTAATGCGAGTATTATTTAAAACGTTATAAATGGAAAATTATTCATTATTTTGTTGTTATATAGTATGCGTTTAGTGTTGTCGATGGTAACATTGTTCCTGAAAAACGTATATTTGATTTTTGAATATTTTACAGTTTTAATTTTAATATTTTACAGGCTTAAATATTTTATCAATATACTGTATATTAATTATAACTCATATAATATCAATATAATTATGATGAAAAACTGAATAACATTTTATTACTACTTAAATAAGGTAAATGTAAGTTTTGTCGAGTTTAAAATAATTTTAGAACATATTACATGTTCCTAATATAATAAGAACTATTTACTAAAGATAAAATATGAATATAATGAGGAAGTAAGAAAAAAAAATATTTTTGTGTTTTTAGTATTGTTGGTCATTACATTACACCATTGATTGGGGCAGGAATGTATTGCGCTTCCAAACATGGTATAACGTGTATGGCTGATATGACACGTAAAGAACTAATTGCAAGCGGTTTCAAAACTAGAGTAACTGTAAGTAAATTATAACATAATCTTAAAAAAAATTTGTTTTAATATAATATCATGTTATTAAAATATATAAAATATTACAGTACATATTATTTATATAAATTTATATTAAAGATTAATTAGTAGTAGGAAATGATTAAAAGTTGATTACAAGAAAATTCAAGTTTTAATGTAACATTTTATCAAAAAGTGATTTATTACATACAATGAAAAATGGTTTTTTTCTGGTCGATCATTTTAGTACTATCAGTATGATTCTAATGCATTATGTATATAAAGGAGAACTAGTGGAGTTATGATGGTATTTCTTTTGACATTATTATAAAATAAATTATGTTCAGTGTACAGTTTAATGTCGCATGTAATACGACAGTTTTGGTCTTTTCATAACAGAACATTGAATCATTGCGAAATATTAATCATGACTCTTGTTTCAGTGTTTGAGATATATTTTTAATCATTCAATAGAAAAATTACCATTTGCTAAATTTAAATAAATTATCCCTTCAGTAATTAAAAAATAAAAATTACTCCAAATATATTTACAGAATGGAACAGATCTAACTGACAACTCATATAACTTATGTTCTAAATTTATAAAATATTTTATACTTTTTTTTTTTAATAAATTTTTACAATATAGAACTATATTTAAAATATGTTTTTTAATTCAGTAGTTACTTTTATACAGCATTTTAAAGTTTGTTAAATTTTAATTTTTTTTACAATTTTCCTATGGTACCAAATGTTAGTCCATATTATGTAAAGTGCAGAAGTAAAGACTTATTACGTTATTTACTGGTACTATTAACTTAGCTAACCATGGAACACTCATAGTTGATATACGATAATGTTTCTAACTTTTATAATAAAGATTAGAGATATTCATTTCTGTATAAAGCGCGTTAAACGTTATTATTATCTATGGAAAAGAATTCGCGTACTGTTACCAGTAAATAACGTAATAAGTCTTTACTACTGCACTTTACATAATATGGACTAACATTTGATACCATAGGACAATTGTAAATAAAATTTAAATTTAACAAACTTTAAAATGCTGTATAAAAGTAACTACTGAATTAAAATAAGAGTTTTTGGTATCAAAATTTGTCTTTAAAACTTATTTATAAAATGGCTATCTTCAAATCTTAAAAAAAAAATTAATTTTTAAAATACTTTTTGTAATTGCGAAAAATAACATAAAACATATTTTAAATATAGTTCTATATTGTAAAAATTTATTAAAAAAAAAAAGTATAAAATGTTATGTAGATCATAAGTTATATGAGTTGTCAGTTAGATTTGTTCCACTCTGAATATATGATGATAAATTTTCGGTAATTTATTTTATAATCTTTTTAAATTAAAAACAAAATTAAGTCCAAGGGTATTTTGATCATGGATTTGGAGCTTAACTATATTTCGTTACAATACTCTGTAAATATAGCGGTGTCTCTGTAACGAAATTTAGAGGAACAGTTACACACCATGTGGATACGTACTGAAAATTGCTGTACTGGTTATGCATTATACTGATATGTTCCAAAAATTGATGTAACGAATGCGTGTACTTAGGCACGTATCTGTTGTAATTAATACACATATTATGCGTACGTACCCAATGTTGATGTAACAGTAACTTCCAAGCAATATTTCTGTAATTCTGAATCGCTGTATTTTGTTTAATAATTTATTATTATTTTTAATGTCAAAATAACTGATGATTTTTCATTTCAAATCTGATTTTTGATCGTATATACTGGAATTAATCATCACGGTCACAGTTATTTACACTATTACGTAGAAGTATTTACCTAAAAAAATTAATGAAAAATACCTATAAAATAATGAAAAAAATTTATTTGAAAATGAAGTTAGGGAAACAAGTGTGGTAATTGCCCGCTGAAAATACGCCATTGAATTGAATGAATGTACAGCCAAAACATAATTAGTAAAAAAGTATAAATATTTTAGTTTAAAACCATTCATTTTGAAGGATTCAATGGACATTGCGTTGTGCACCATCAAAAACGATGTGTAGTGATTTTATAAGTTCAGTGCAAAGACGTAGTAAAATCTGAAAATACAACGGTTTGAGGTCACCAAAATTTTGCTCAACCGTTACTGTTTCTTCACATTGAGTACGTCCCACAATGGGTATGAAGTACACGTACCGGTTTAGTTTTAGTTTTAGTTATTATCGAGGTGGATATAATACCCATGCAATCAAACTTGTTGGTCCATTGTGCGCACCTCATATCGAATTGTCTTGATTCGGTTTACCCACCTAAGTATTATTACTGAAATGTTGAAATGTACTGAAACGTGAAATGAGTCTTCTTTTTCTACTTCACACTTCCTGCACAATGGTGATTCCGATACCCCCGTTGCATAAAGATGTTTAAGCACGTGACCATGTCCTGTCAGTAGACCAGTGAAAGTACTTATTTGATGTCTAGTCATGCTATTAAGATCACCCAGTAGTAAACCGGGGGTCTTGATAAACATTTTAGGTTGTCTAGGTACTACCTTGTACTTCCAGATTTTCCTGTGTTCTCTACACCAATTCTTGGGTAGCGCTTTGAGGGATTGCTCAGTGAGTCCTTCCACAGGTACTAATACAACATAGATGTTCTCTGCTCCTTTCCTGGCTAAAAAGTCAGCATTTTCATTTCCAGTGACACCGTTGTGTCTTGGTACCCACGCTAGTGTAAATTTGTTGAATCTCGATAGTGATTTTAAAGTTTCCCTGAATTCGAGGACAAGCTTTGAATTTACTTGATCATTATAGAGTGCTTTCAAAGTCGCTTGACTGTCACTTAAGATAGTTATCTTCCTATTTTTGTATACCAGTAGTTCCTGTCCCCCTACCATTATCGCCATCACTTCTGCTTGGAAAATAGAGGGTGTTGTGCCCAATGACATACTGACATTTATTCGTGGCTTTAGACCCCAAATGTTAGCACCTACCTTTCCTGATTTTTTGGATTCATCTGTATATATTACAAATCCATTTTTTTCAGTCAGGTGGTTAATATTCCATTATCTACGTGTATTGATTTCCACTTTGTAGGGAATATTATTCTTTAGAATCGGTTTGATATAGTCCAAGGGATATTCCAAAAAGCCCTGGTCTATCTCTTTTATTATTTTACCGTGTTCTGCTGTGTCACTTTCCAAAGTCCAAGTACCTAAATTGTGGAATCTTAGTGCTGTGGCTTTGGCGTGAGCTTTAACCTCTGTATGCAGAGGAGGCAATCTGATTAGTGTCTCTAATGCGACCGTTGGTTTAGTTCTTAATGCTCCAGTGATTGCTATGGCAGCCATTCTCTGTATGCGACTAAGTTCTTTCCTAGCTGTAACGAGTACTGTTCTAGTTCACCAGATTAGGGCACCGTACAATATCATAGGTTTAATCACTGAAGTGTACAACCAATACATAACTCTTGGTTTAAGACCCCATATCTTTCCCAAAGCACTGCTGCAAATCCATAGTGTGGTCATTGTTTTTTTGATTCTTGTCTCAACATGTGATTTCCACACGTACCCGTTACAGTAATTTGGGTACGTAACTGATTAACGCGTACCTATTACGACAATTAACACTTCGTACCTGAAAAATTCGTGACTCGTACAGGAATTTTCGGTGAGCACCCATAGTGAGTGTAATCGTTACAATAAGTTTGGGTGTGTACTAAAAGTTATTATTTTTATGAGTTTAGTTACGTTACACTATTGTTCAAAATTTAGTTATAAAATATCCAATCCCTTGTTTTGATTCGTTCAATTACTAATATTTTTTAATTAAATTTGTCTACGTTATGGCAGATTCTAACTACATAAGGCTTCACTTAATTTTTAATAAAGTATATATATAAACTTATATTTTGTTGACGTAATGATATAATATGCAAATAAATTTAAAGTAATGAGCTAAAGTATTAAACAAATTTAGTATCTTATCTCGCATCCACCTCTTCAGTAAAATATACTCTTAAAAATGGGACTCCTACAACATTTTTATCTTAAAATGTCTGCTACACTTGGATCATTATCTAAACACATTTAATAACTTAATATGTATTCTAGAGTATAAGTCCTTCGTATACTAAGTCTGAAATATTTGAAAAGTCAGGAAGAAAAGTTTCAGCTGATGAACCAATGCTCGAGTCACAAGATATCGCTAATATTGTTGTGTGGATTTTATCCACTGCACCGTCAGTTCAAGTAAGCTAAATAGTTATTAATTTATTTATGCATACTAAAATTTTTTTTATTCGTATATTTATAGTACATATTCTATTTTAAGTAGAACTGTCTACATTAAACTTATTTTATTGAGGGCATAAGCGTGTCCATGTATAGTGCCTGTAGCACTATTCATTTAACTCAAAAAAAATTATGAATTATCTTAATTTTTTATATTCCCAGAAAACGTTTAGAAGGAATGTTAAAAATGTGAAATTTCACTCATTTCAACTATTATTTTGAATTTTTTCCTATTTTCACTTGATGATTTTCCAAGTGAAAAGCCCAGTTTTCAGAATTGTATGCCATACTCATATAATAAAATTATTTTTGTGCATTATTGTAGGAAGACGCACTTTAGTTCTTGACTAAATGTAGAATTTGTTAGATACTGCATAAAATGTGATCAATTGCACAATAAAATAAGCCTTGATCATTACCATGTTCATAAAACATCTAAATTTCAATTGTATGAATATAAATGCGTTTTAACCATAATCATTTATATTTTGTTCTGTGGAAATGAGGTTTTAGTACTGAATTCTAGTTGGAATATTAATAAAGTCAAAAGGAATTCTCATTTATTTCGATATACCTACTTGAAGGTTTTATCTAAAGACTTTTAATTAAATTTTTGAATTAGTATATCATTCAAAGTTTTAATATTTAATGTTATGAATAAACCGTGGTGTTTTAAATTTTAAACAGTAGCCATAAAAAACTTTGTACTATCTTTTTAAAGTATTCTGGGATTATAAACAAAGAAAAATAACACATTGCTTTTGATAATTTACTAAAGAATACTTTTTTATTTTTATATATACATAAATATACATTTTTTACTGATAAACCGTTTTCATAATGTTATAACTACCAAAAAACAATTGGAATCATAACACGTAAAGGAAACGTGAATGGTTAACAAAAATATATAATATGTATATGTATAACACATAACTTCAAATGAAATAAAGCAAAATTGACAACACATTGATGATTCTTAATAACTTATAAACTATTATAAATTTGGAGAAAATATAATTACGAGCAAGACAGTGTTTCCCAATATGATAACTAAGTAAGAAAAATTCTCAAATTTGAATAATGATGGGTTAATTCTTAATAAGGTAAAAATATTGTCAATAACGTTTAATTACTGTAAGATGAAAAATATAAAAAATCAATAACGATTGAATATCGTAAAACATAACAAATAAATATTGTTTAAATACCACAAAACGTAAAACATTATTAACCCATAATGTTTTAATTATATTAAACGTATAAAGTAATAATATTGTTAACGTTTTAACTGTCATAACAAAATACAAAATAAATAATTCAGATTCAAGCCCTGCATTATACATACTAATATAATAAGTAAATTTGATTTTTAAATTTAATTAGGATATGGCGGATGACGCCTCTATCATATCCTAATTAAATGACACTATCTTCAGAAATGTATGTTATATGCAGGGTTATTTTTTTAACATTAGCCATTCATATTTATTAAAATAATTTAAATACTGAGAATTATTTTTTTGCCTTTTTTTTATTTTTCTTTTTCTTTTTGATTTATCTAGTATTAAGTAATTTTTTGATTCATCCCTCTTTTTTTATATTGATACAAACTTTATTTTTTTAATGACAACATGCATAATTAGTTATATAAATATGATTGAAAATAATATAATTTAGTAAATGGCTGGTCCACCACAACTTTTAAACTTAGGTGGAAGGAGCAATGTGGTGAAAAATGTCTAATAATAAAAATAGGTATACCTTAACTGCACCCTTAGTCTTAATTTTAAAATTATAATAACTTTTGAAATACTGGATCAAAAGTTGTTGCTGACTAGTCAATTTTTTTAATTAGATTATTTTTAGTAAAATATTTTAATTATTTTAGAAGATATTGAATGGCCATAGTTAAATAATTATCCTGTTTTTATCCTGTTATTGTCCGCGGGTATAAATCATAGTGGCAATCATACTATCTTGTCATGGGAAAGGATAAAAAAATTTAATGATAAAAATTATCATAGTAGCTATGCTCCATTGCCCAGATATTATTATATCATAATATTATTATATACTTTTAGATTTGCATAAATAGTTTTTTCTTATTAAGCCTATTTGAAATATTTAATTTATTTTAGAATAGTACCCCATTGATTTTACTTACGTATAAATATAACCAAGACTTAAAATTCAATTTCCAAATTTGTGGGATTAATAAGTTTTTAATATTAGTTATGTTCAATAACTTTTAAATTGAATTATTATAAATAAATTTGTCAAAATATATATAATGAAAATTGTATAAAAATGTCGAAAGGGTATGTCAATAAGAAATCTGTCCGCTTAATAATGACTATTATTGAGTCACTACCACTTGATGGGCACAGATAAATTATAATTGTAATAACACAAATTTAAGTTTATTATTATAATATACTAAACGTATATTATAACAATAGTACATATATTCAAGTACATATAGTGAAGTTAAGTATTTAAGTATTTCATGTAATTAGGTTAAATTAAATTAAATTTTTATTAAAAGTTTAAGCTAATTATGATAAATATTGTTTCCACACAAGAATTATGTAATAAAGCATATTTATATTTAAATAACATATAAATTAAAAGTTTTCAATTACTTAAAAAATGAATTAAATTTTTTTTATGTTAGTTGGAATAATTCTATTATTTTATTGAATATACTTACATTAAATGTTTTTTTACAGATCACAGAAGTTATAGTTCGACCAACAGGTTCACAATTTTAAAAAATATCAACAAGATTTATTTTTTATTATGTATATACTTCATAAATAATGACAATTGGTAACAATTTATTATCCAGCGACTTACTGAATTTTTCTTCTATTAAAACATTTTTTTTCTTGTTAAAATGTAAAATAAATTGTTTTTCTGCTATATCATCTTAACTTCTTTATTGGAAATTTTTTTTTTTTTTATGATTAAATGACCAATTTTATTGTTAATAATTGTAATTAATATTGGGTTCAACACCACATATTTATATTTTTGTCAAATAAAAATTGTTTGTCTTTCACAATATTATGTATTATGTAGTTATTAACAGAAAAAGAAAAAATTAAATTAATTAAAAACGATTAAAGATTAATCATGCTTTAACTATTAGTATTTTCCTGCTATAATTAATCTAGTTAGAAATGTAAAATAATATTCTTAACAAATAATTATTTTTCTAGGAGTTATTTTTAACTACCTTATAATCATTTATACCGGTAATTATTTTAATATTAAATAATATATAATAAATTTTTTTTTAATTATACAAGTAATATAATTATTAATTTTTGCACTCTCGTAATTTTTATTTTTTCTAAATTTGTACTGATATGAATAGTTTGATCTTAATGTATTTAATTTAAAGAGTAAATGCATTCACTTANGTACTGATATGAATAATTTGATCTTAATGTATTTAATTTAAAGAGTAAATGCATTCACTTATTAGAAGAATGATTACAAAATTTAAAAGAATTTTCTATTTCTATTCATACTATGGTGTCGAATTTATAAGTAGACCATTTAAAAAGTATCTAACTCTAAAATAAAATGCCCTTTTTTAGTTTCGATGCGAAGCTGAGAAGGTATTGGTTTTACTATGATGTGTTTTTTTTTTTTTGTGTCTGTTAGCACTTTTTCTCAGCTCTCACCGAACCGATTTCTTTAAAGATACGTCAAAAGATCACAAATCGTATCTAATCAAAGACATTGCCTTCAAAAATTGAAAAAATTTCCCTCGTTCCCCGTAAATGGGGAAACCTCCAAAAAAATTACAAATTTAAAAATCGCTAATTTTCGAAATTTTTTCAATTTTTTTTACTAAAAACTGCCGTAACTTTTTCAAAAATGAACATATCAATATAATTTTTTTTTATATAGATGCTTGATGTCTTTACTTATCATTTAGTATATTTTTTTTTTAAATCTGACCCTTTATCTGCCCACAGGAGGGATTTAAAATGACAACTTTTACACAAAAAATTAACTTTTTCAACTTAACTTTTGAAAATGTTCCGGAAGGTCTGACACTTTTATATATATCTTAAATTAAAGCTAATGTAATATACTTTAATTTGAAAAAAAAAAATTTGACCTCTGGACTTGTCTTCATGGTGAAAATGGCTACCGAATGCTATTTTTGTGTGAAAATTTTCGATTTTATAATTTACATTTTTTACTTTAAAGTGCTATAACTTTTTAAAAAATGTATGGATCAATACAATTTTTTCATGAGAAGTAGTATTTATATACATCTTTCATTGGATATACTTTTTTTTTTAATCAGACTATTTCCCTATATATGGGGGGCTTCANATTTTTGATAGTGATTTTAATCACTGTCAGATATCATTATACTTGATCCTACTATACCACGTCACAACTGTGCCGCCACCCCACTGTGCTGGGTTTTATTTTTTTGTAAATGATTTTTTTAATTTATTTACTTAAATTATTTCACAGTTTTTTTATGAATAAGTTAAAACTAAAAATAGCATTTTAGGAATCAAAATAAAAACAGTAAAAAATTCATTTAAAACAATTTATTCTATTTATAACATAATAAAGTTTAAATTTCACGAAAAATAGAATTCAAGTTTTATATTATTGAAAGTGATTAGGAAAGTAATAAATAATCAGTCATTAGAGAAGCATCATAAGTAACAAATATCAATTTCTCAAAAAAAAAAAAATTTAAAAACTAAATGGATTGTCTTTTTTACATCTGTGAAAAATGATACATTTTTTTTTACATTATATTAAATCTAAATTATTCAATACAAAAATATCAACTACATATTTTTTATTGGATGTTATTATATATTAATGATGAAGGAATGAAAATATTATTTTTACCAACAGAATAATTTTTTTTTTAAATATGGCCTTTATTCATTATTTATGGCCTTTATTTATGGCCTCTGTGCTGGGTTTTTTTTTTTAAATGTGTATTTTTAATTATACTCAATACTTTTCATGTAATGTGCAATGTATTTATAAATACATTATAATATAATATATAGTTAATATACAATTTAAAAAAAAAAACTACTAGACAGTCATAATACAATGTTAACAACCAATTAATAGTTTGTTTAAAATTCAACATGAGATAAACGATTAAAAATGTTTGTTACAAAATTAGAGATTAGTAGAGATAAATCCATTGAAAACTTTTATAATATATCAAAAGTTCTTTCAATTCGGATCAAATTTATTTAAGCTCTTATGATAACTATGACGAGAAACTTTATATTTTATTAATATTCAAGGACTACAGTGATCCACACAAATTTACATTTTTATNAACTTTATATTCAAGGACTACAGTGATCCACACAAATTTACATTTTTATTTTATTATGTTTTTAAAACATTCGTTATTTTTTAATAAAAAAACAAGATATTAATTTTATAGTGAATTATTTTGATTTAAACTTATTTTGTTTTTAGTGTGATGATTGCCAACGACTTTATAATTTTTTATTTTCCTTTTTGTTAAATTTGTACTGGATATTGAAAATTATGATCGTGATAGACGTGGATCATATAAATTATTTATTTTTAAATTATTGTTACGTATCTTAATTTTTTTGTGTGTTATAAGAAAATATACTGAATAAGTTTTTTCACCGTCTATGATATAATTAATAAATATACATATAAGCAGAACAAATTTTTTGATAAAAATGATTACATAATGTATATAAAAAAATATAATGTTTTGATGAGGAAAATATTAATATGTCCATGAAATTAAAATCAAACAATCACAGTTTATATTCGTTTCATAAAAGGTTGAGACAAAACTTTTTAAAATCGTTAACTTTTCAATAAATTTCAATTAAATAAACACAAAAAATGAATAGGTGGAAAAATAGAGTGGCTTTAGTTACCGGTGCATCATCAGGTATTGGTAGAGCAATCGCTATAGAATTAGCCAAACAAGGTATGATTGTCGTTGGTGTGGCGAGAAGAGTGGACAAATTGAAAGTAATCATTTTCATTAATTAATATTCATTTATTTGTCTTTAATAAAAAATTAACCGATTAATTTCTTATATCTAAAGGATTTGAAAAACTTATTAGAACAATACAAGTTTCACTATAGACAGTGTGACGTAACTGAAGAGAATCAAGTAGTAGAAACAATTAATTGGATTGAAGAGACTACAGGTCGCGGAATTGATGTACTGATAAATAACGCGGGGCTTGGCAGATTAAATACCATGCTTGGTATATAACTGTGTTGCCTATTAGTGTTTATATAATTTTTCTTAAATTTTTTTATGCAGGAATGTCTTTTTGACATCTCTAATTATTTTTAAGGGCGTTTTTTAAATTTTCTGAAGACGTTTGTACTTCAAAATTCTTAATATGACAAGCGACAAAAAAAAAGGTCTTGACTAATTATGATGTTATCAACCATATAATAATAAATAAATTTAAAAATATAAGCTCATTTATATTGCTCCTAAATAAATTTAAAGTTGTTATAATTTGTTTTTAATAGGAAATAAAAATGAAATTTTGATTGGACGTATGTTTTTAGATTTCGCTTTTTATAATAACAATCATATTATAAAACCCACTGTTAAATTTTCCTGTTTGTAATACTGTTTAATTATATCATCAGTATAAATAATATAAGATGTTTATTTATTATCAAAATAAACTCCCGTGAGAGTATAGAATACAAACAAAATTAATAAACTTTGTAAAATTATAATATATCATAATAAAATTTTATTAACTATTTCGAAAACTAACTTTCAACTTGGTTAAGTTATCATTAAATAAATAAAAATTTAAATTAAATTACTTTGAACGCTTTATATAACTAATCGTTGAAGTGTAAATATAGTTTTGGCGATTAAATGATACACAAGAGATGATAGATGATCGTAAACTATATTTTAAAACATTAATTGGTAGTAAATTCAAAATTTCAAATTAATTATTTACATTCTTAAAAAAAAAATTGTGAAATTTTTACATACATGTATTAGTAGTTTTTAACGAATGTAATGTATGGAAAAGCTTGTGTAATTAGTGATAAAAATGTTATATTTGAATACGAATGTTCGTTAATCTTTGTCAAAATTACACTATTTGTGTATAAATAGTAAGCTATTCTGTAAGCTTGCTATTTATGAATGTGATATTATTTATATTTATTAAAGAACTATATTTTAACAATGTTTTATGACAGTAAAATCACCTCTTAATTAAAACTCAAATGGATTTTAGATGGAAAAACAGAAGACTGGAAATTAATAATGAAAGTAAATGTAATTGGTGTTTCGATATGTGCTCGCGAAGCTGTCAAATCTATGAGACGACACCAAATAGACGACGGTCACATAGTTTACATCAGCTCGTAAGTGTTCGTAAGGACCACAACTTTGCAAACACATACAAACTTTACTTTAGACAAGTATAGTTTAATTTATAAGCAATGGTATCGATCTTAGAGTAGACTGTTACTGCGTGAGATTATTACAATAATCGAAGATATAACATACAACAGTTTTTCTCTTATATTTATTCATCTCTTCGATATTATTTTATGATATTTTCATTAAACAATCTAGGTATTAAAATGTTTACTTAAACAGATAAAAACTATGAATTTTTATATACAACATTTTCGTTAAGAAAGTTTTATGGTAAAAATTAAAGTGCCCTTTATTTTTGAATTTTAAAATTATGATTTTTAATTATTTAATATTTTAAGAGTCTCCTGGAGGTTGTAAATTGATGAAAAATGTTTTTTGTTTATAAATAGAATAACATTTCACTTATCTTAAAAATAAAATGATAAAATAACTAATAAATTACAGTTTATATTAAAACTGTATTAGATTTCAAATAATTTTATTATGATTCATTATATTCATATCAAAAATTGATTTTATTAAAACTATTTATAAATTATTTTTTCTTATCTAATATTATAATTACTTCGAGAAATAAAATCACGGTAAAAAATTATTTAAATAAAAATATAAAACATTCAAAATATTACTATTGAAATTAAGTAGCCTGTGACTTCACATAGGTTTGCTGATTTTCCATAATTTTAAATTAAATTTATAAATTTTTTAAAAATATTTTCCAGAATATCATATATTTTAGCTTACAATTTATTTTAGAAAAAAAGGGTATACGTTTTTAAGATAAGTGAATAATTTTTTTCTACTTCTAATATACATAAATATCATCCAAACTGCATAAAAATTTTTTTTTTTTTATTTCTAACTTACTTGACACTTACTAGAAATATAATAAATATAAATAATGACGCTATTTATGATATCCACGCTATAAATTTTTGACTTAAAATTTTGACACTAAAAAATTTGTATTCTACATTAAAAATTTATTTTGATATAATAATCATAATATTTGGCCAAAAATTGTATAACAGTGACCGGTTTTTGGGGTACTTTCGGTCAAAACACTAAAAACACGTTGAGCGACCGTTAAAAATTTTTTAATAATGTCAAATCTTCACAAAATGCCTATTTTAATGTAAATAACGGAGTTAAAATGGTTCTCATTGAAATTTCGAAGATCGACTTTTTTTTATTCAACCTGATGTATATGTGTAACAATGAGACGATACCCTTATAAAAAATGCACATGAACTTGCATGTATAATTGGCATACAGAAAATTGTTATTATTCGTTAAAATTTGATCAATTTCAAACGCTTGAATCGGCCAGAGTTTTGGTCGGTTCTAAGATTTTCGAATGTTTTGCGCTTACTTGTCATGTGTAGATTGTCGTGGTAAAATTGCGAATCGAAAAAAAAAATCGTTTACATGTCGTAAAATGTCACAAGAATTTCGGAAGTCACGCCCTGGCGTCTTGAGCGTATGAAAAAAAATCTCGTAGAACGGTAAAAAATGAAAAAACTCAACTCCTCTCTCCATATTATCATTTATTAATAGAAGATTATTTACCAACTATTTTCCTGCTTTATTTTGGCCATTTTAGTTTCACAATATAGAATTTTTCTAAGAAGTCCACCAGTATACTATCATCATAATAACCTCTTGGCCTTTATCCCAATTATTTGGAGTCGGCTTCCGCTCAACAGTATACCAACTCTATTTAAAAAATTTCTACACTGGATTGATATAAAGTCAACAATAATTTTATTAGTATAATCGTATTTTTCATTTATTTTTAAAATTGTTTTGACTTCATTGATTTAATCATTTTTAGCTTTATTTGTGATGATAGATTTTGATAAAAAAAAATGCTTAGGTTATTTTTATTGTTAAATACTAAAGAAGAAATTTTTTTAACGTTGACTTTTTGATCTTTATCAAAGAAGCAACTAAAGTACGAAACCATTGTTTTATATACAAAGTATCCCACCAGGTTTTGATACCTGGTAATCAAAAATTTATAAAAATAAATTAATTAGAAGTAAAACAATATCAAAAAGCGAGTAAATACTGAGTTGTGATATTTTGTGTGTATATTTATGGCCTATTGGCAAAGGAAAAACAATTTATAGTATTGACCTTTATTTTTTAAATCTGAATATAATAATCTAAAGTTGAAGTAAAGTGTGTGTACATATATTTATTTTATTTACATATACGTTACATTTCGGTTATCATACCGTATTTTTTATATTTCTTAACAGAATATTTTTTATGAGAGTTTTTATCTCATCGTGTGTTATTTCTATAATACAACTTTTATTAACTATATGAAAGTAAAACTAATTTCAGACTATGTTTCAGTGTGAAGTTTGTACATTAAATATATTTAGTTTGAAAATGTAGTTTGACAATAATTTTATAGATTGGCTGCTCACCGATTTGGTTGTCTGATTGGATCTTCACCTATGTATAGAGCAAGCAAACATGGCGTACGAGCAATTGCGGATTGTTTGCGTAAAGAATTGGTAGCTGAGAAATCCAAAATTCGAGTAACAGTACGTAAATTCATTAAAATATAAACACCTAGGTCCGATTTATAAATTACTCTCATTACTCTCAATTTTGGTACACCACTTGAAAACTCAAATGCATATTTGGATATCTTCCTAGTTAGGCCCTCTTCTGTTAAAGGCCCAATTTCGCGGGAAAGATTGATATAAAAATAATAATAATAATGAAAAATAAAGTTTTCTAAGACAATTAATTTTAAATTTTTTAAACTTGAATGAATCTCGGGAATCTACCTCTACTATCCCTTTTAATCTAGACTCATGTGCTATATGTATCTATGTATCTATTTTAATGTAAAATGATAGCTAATCGATGTTTAGATCAGTGAACTCTTTTCACTTTTCTTTTTTACTGGATCTCTATTATTAGAGATTCTGTAGATATGTGTTATCTATATATAACTTTACTGTTATCCAAATATCTAACACGTAAATTACAAAATTCTAATATTTAATTTACTGGAGGTATTTACATTAACCAGAATAAATTTAAGTAATTTTTCTCTTACCATTCATAGCATAAATTAGATAGCGTTATTGTTTATTTTATTTTTAGTGCGTAAGTCCTTCATATACCAGAAGTGAAATATTTGAAGGCTCGGGTAGAACTATACCAGAGGAACCAATACTCGAGCCAGAAGACATAGGAGATATTGTAGTAAATGTTTTAAAAGTACCACCATCAGTTCAGGTAATTATTAATAGCTTTTAAAAAATTAGTTATAAATTCAAATAAAAAATACTTAGTTATTTATAAAATACGCCTTTTTCGATATTTAAAAAAATATAAAGTGAAATAAAATATTTTTATTACCAAAGTTTTATATTTTTCTATGCATTATAATTTTTATTAAAAACTTCAGTTCTATCGCGTTTTCTTGACCCTAAAATTATGAATAATATAAATGTAACTGGATTATATCTATAGGACATAATGTATTGTAGATGAACGGTGCAGACGAGTTGGTAATGGGTCAGTGCCTGTTACGTATTATCTCAAGTTCGAGACTAGGATTTGTTGTGAGATGATTTAGTAATAGTAGTCGCCATCCCTTTCTCTGAGAATGGACTCATTACCCATAGTGGAGTATTCATGATAAAGAAACCTTTTCTTCGGAGAAGGTCGCTTAAGCTCTTAGTGGGCAGTAAAAAGTACTAAAAAAAGAAAAATTATGTATTGAATCATGTTTTAGAAGTTATTATTATCTGATTGATGAGGGTGGTTGAGAAATGTCTAATGATAAAAATTACCATACCCGTGCTTCACTCTAATATATACTTTTTAAATGATGATAAGTTCATTATAAATGATAATCAAAATACTAGATCTAGTAAAAATGAAAAAAACTAATAAAAGTTGTTAACTCCCAGTTTATATATTATTCAAATTATTAGTTCTAGGTAATTATAGTCCAGTTAAATAAATATGCTATCATTTGAAAAACTCAAATTAATATAATTTTAGGAGGCATGTAGTAAAGATAGAAATTAATATTTTTATACAAATTATTGTGTATAAAAAAATATCAAACTTTGGTAAACATACGTTTTTATTTTAGTGTATATTTTTTAAAAACATTAAGTGAAGTAAAGTAAATAATTACCCTTATATATTATATTGTTATACATATATTTTAGCTTCAATGCAAAGTAGAGAAGGAATTATTTTATTACGATGTAGTTAGTTGTCGTATTTACAAGGGATCCTTGGGGTTCCATCCAACATAAAAAAATGGTAAAAAGAGCAGTGAAAGTAATTAATCTCCCCACTGCACTAATTTGAAAGATATCTGAACTCCTTTCATAAAATATAAGCTATTGATGTGATTTTTACATTTATTTATGTGTTTGTCTATATTGTTATTTAGCCCCTTTTGATTCAATATTATTAAGAAATTCATTTTAAAAAATGTGTTTTTTATATCTAATTAAAGATATTATTCTAAAAATTTGAAATTATTGATATTGTTTCAAAAAATACATATATTTTTAAATTTTTAATTGCATTATAAATAAATATTATAAAATATTAATGCAAAAAGTAGTTCGAATAAGTATAATGCAAGAGCTTATTTCTTCAATATATAAAAACGGAAATCAAATGAGTAATCCTAAGGAGACCTGATCATGGACAACAAAATTTCCTTCTTTCTTCACTGTTAAACATTACGTCACCTCATTATTGTTTTTGCAAGATTTTCACAAAACTTAGCGCAAAAACATAGTCTTCGCTATACCAGTTAGTTAGTATTAAAATATAATACAATATGATTCATTTAAGTCGAGCCAATGTTGACTAGTGTACAAAGTGTTTTAAGAATAAGCGAAATTTCTATGTAAATGTTTGTCATTTTCTAAAATTATAACAAAACGAGTAATGAAAAAGACAACAGACTAAAAGCCATCGATTGAAAATTTTAGGGGTGGCTAATTTGCTTTTGTACATTTTGCACAAGGTCGATCGAATAGGTGATACAGGCATAATTATAGTATTTATAATATACAAAATTTAAATATCACGTAATTTCCAAACTTTACATAACTTTTGATATTAATATATTTAACTTACCGTTATTATTTGAAGCGTTTTCTCTGACCTGTAACGTAAATAAATACCATTAAAAACTAATAATTTTCAATTAATTTTGTTTATAATAGTAATTAATAATTCACAATCATTTAACATCTTATTAAACTTAAACTTTTAACATTGCCCGATAAATATTTCATCACTCTAGTCAATATTATTAATTTATAAAATCATAACTTTGATTAAGGTTAGGTAAAAAATTTGATTATAATTATTTTGTTACGAAAATATTTCATAATTTTTAAATTAATATATTCATAAGAAAAAAAATTTACTAATTCAGTGGTTGGTTATTACCTCAAAATTAGCATAACAAAGATTTCTACCTTGGGTGATTTTATATTTGAAATTATTTAAAGTAATACAATATGTTGGCTAAAATTTTATACTGATTAATAATAATAATAAAAATTATAAGAACAAATTTGTTTGTAATTTTTTTTTCTATCACATTATCAAGGTTAAAGTAAAAATCTCCTTTAAGAAAATAATGTTAAAATTTTTTATCATTGAAGGGATAAAAAAAAATTATTTAACTACTACTTCTACTTATTGAAGTTTTTTGAATCAAACAATATTTTCCTTTACAAAAACTAAAAATTTTCAATTGTTTCCAAGAAAATCTTTTCTTTAATAAGTCACTCTATATTTATAAATATATATATATTTTGTATATATTGAGTGTTTCATCATGTTTTTGTAATTTGACTGTATAAACAAATTTTAAAATTAGTATATCACGGTGGGACACTATATATTTCAAAATAATCATTTTTTAGCTGTATTATTTCGAAAAATGTTGATGAAATAATAAAAATTTTTGGAATAATACTTATAAAAGGTCAAATTTATAAAAAAAATGTACAAAATAATAGGTTAATACTTCATAAATAAAAAAAAAAAACTTATATTGATTTGGTAATTTTTAAAAAAATATGGCAGTTTTAAGTAAAAAAATATTTTCAAAATTTTGAAAATTAACGATTATTAAATTTGTAATTTTTTTTTGAGATTTCCCACATTTACGGGGAATGAGGGATATTTTTTAATTTTTGAGGGTAATGTTTATGACTAGATACAATTTGTGATTTTTTGACATATTGTTGAAAGAAAACGATTCCGTGAGTGCTGAGAAAAAGTGGTAACAGACAAAAAAAACACATCATAGTAAAATTAATATTTTCTCTAAAAAGTGAATGGTTATCAAAAAATTTGAATTAAATCGTTCGTAGAAGTTTTACATTAAAGAGTCAATTCTATGAAAAAATTAAAAACACCTTTTTTGTTATCAACTTAATTTACTGCAATACAAATTTCATTCAATTTTTTCTTTTTAGAATATTTAAAAATATACGCTTTTATTCCTCATTATCAATTTTTAACTCCTTTGAAGAACGGGAAAGAGCAAATCAAAAGCTCTAAATCTTCATCAAAACTATTTATTTCGTAGAATAAAATGTCAGATACCTGCATTAAATATTAAAAAGTTGAAAAATAAGGATTACCTTTATGTACACAATGTTTTGACAAATTATTAACCTTTCTACTGAATAATTTGAGTTGTTTTTTAAATTATTTATATAGTTTTGGACTATGTTAAAAGTATATATTTTATAAATGTCTATAAAAAAACACTTTTTTTAATTTTTCAAAATATTAAAACAGGCATTTTTTGGCATTTTCTTTACAAAAACATCTAAAGGGTCGATAACAACTTTAGAATAAGTACTTATCGAGATACAAGAGTTTTAATGGAGTGGGTATTAATTTAAAAAATCCTTAGATTTGTCAAAACATCATGGAATTATTTGTGGTATATATATATATATATATGTGTATATAATATGAATATTTAAAAATTATTTTTTTATTTTCCAGATATCTGAAGTCATAGTCCATCCCGTCGGTTCTTGCTATTAAATATTATACAATTAATAATATTAAGAAAATATTATCAAACGATTTTGGATATTTCAACAAAATACACATATATTTAGAAAATTAGGTAAACAGACAGATAATCTAGACATCATCATGTGATGAATTATTATAAAATGATCTTTTTTTGTAATAAGTAATCTATTGAAAATTTAACCAATTAAGCATATTTTTTTTCTAATATTATGAGCGAAATTTTCATTGCTTTGTATTTTAATTATTATGGTAGAATTATTAAAGTTTTCAAAAAAAAAAAAAAAAAAATAGGTTGTTGTCCTTATTATTCTCCGTCAACTTTTTATATTCTAAACATAATTTCCTTGGTAATTTATATCAAGAGAGGTCTTTTAATAATGTTCTAAATCCTTACAAAATTTAATATAGGTGACAAATCCATAATATACATAGTACTTGTAGATATGATTATATTTTGAGGTATTACATCATATTTCAAAATTTATATTTTATTTTAAGTATAGCGTTCTATACGTTTGTATTTCTTATAAATGTGAGAAATTATTTCATATGCAGTATTTTTTTATACATAATAGCTTAACATTAAATATTCAAAGTATTTTAAATTAATGTCTTTTATTATGCACCTTCCTTATTTTATAAAATGTTTATTATATTGCTAATTAATTAATTCAATTATAAAAAACGTTATTTTCCAAATAATAATTATTAGCTAATTATCGAATAAAAATGTAATTTGTGATTAAAATAAATAAATTTGAAAATAAATTTGAAGTCTTTAAACAAATAACACAAAATTACAGTTGATTAAATGTAAATTCTAAAATTATGATCAATCATTGTATGAATAATTTATATTTTTAAATTACATTTTATCGTTGAATCATGTTTTACTTTTATAACTGGAATTTTCCAGAAATAATAGCTGTCAACTTTAATGAAAAATCTTATTTAAAAATCTACAGCTATCAAGTTTTGAGTGCTTACAGATTTAATTTTAACTTAATGTTTCATTAAAAAGTTTAAGAAAAGATGTGATAAAATCTAAGTGATGACGTGTTATATCATTCCATAACATTCTCGTTGTAATATCTATGACAGCTATTATCTTCAACCAATATTAATCAATGACATTATAATTAAAAATTTTATAATATAAAATAATTTTATATTTAAATATAAATGTATAAATGGATATTTGTAAAACAAATAAAACTACAAATGGAACTAAATAATCACAAAAGTTTTTTGTTGGGTTGGATTGAAAGAAAATTTTTTTATGAAAATACAGTTAGAATAAAATGCTAAAATCTTCTTATAATTCTGAGTGGCTCTGTTCATTCTGATTCAATCTTTAAATAGGTATTTATTTTGTTCATATTATTAGATAAAAATAAAAAAGCAGCATTGCGGAGAAGTGGCATACTTGGAACAAATATATATTTTATCTGACAGTGATTAGCATCGCTATCATAAAGACATTTCAATGCAAATCTGTTAAATTTTATAATAGTTTGTATGTTTGTAATTTAACAATAGCTTTGTTTTTTAAAATTTCATTCACATATGAAAGACTTCTTAAATTATTTGTTTTATCATACAATATTCATTGGAAATTTCTGTAATCGTTTAACCTATACTCTTCCGTTAAACAATCAATTACTGTCTTACTGGAATATGATGTATAAGAAACTCATATAATACTCTAGCCAATGTGTTTTTCTATATTTTTTTGACAATATAAACATGTTTGACATATTTGTTGAATTTTATATGCGTGAGTGGTCTCTTTCAAACCTTTCCTGAAATTAATTTCTTCATAAAAATTACACCAAAAGGTTTGGTTAGTTTATTATAGATAGAGTTATAGCAAAATGAAAAATTCACGAATTTTTACAGAAAATTTGTGGTTTTTTAACTTAAAAGCCAAATAACTTAAAGAAAAAAAAAGGCATTTTTTAGTACTCTAAAAAATAATTAATTTTATATAGATTAAAAATTGTCGGACAATACGGAAATTTTTCAAAAATTGAGTTGGACTTTTTTTGTAAGTGTGGATATATTTTTTGAGCTCTTTTTGAACTTGAGTACAGAAAAACTCGAAAATAAACTAAACCAAATTTTAAAATGTAGAAAAAAGAAAAGAAAATGCCGTTTTTTACGGTATTATAATTATGAGATATATATTTTAATTTTTAAAACTTAAGGGTATTTCTAATTCTGGTACTAATAGGTTTCAATAGTTTAAAATCAATCTTTTTTGACGTAAAGATAAAGAAAATTGGTCTAGTGAAAGCTGAGAATTTTTTTGGACAGATATATAAATAGGCATACCGTGACAAAATCCAAACCGAATTAGACTTGTTTGAAACTAAAAAAAGGAAAATGCAAAATGAACTAATAATTAGTTATAATTATAATTAAATTTTTATAATTTAAATTATAACTTTGCATTTCTGTTGCAAATTATTAATGGAATATTGAAATGAACATTATTCATTGTATAATGGAAAATGTATTTTTTTTTGTGATATACATTTTATTAAGAGTAATTTTTGGTTTTAAATTAATAAAATTAATAAAAGAAAATAAATTAATGAGTAAAAAAAATTAAAATTTTTCATTGTACCTATAATGTAAAGTGAGCAAGATTGTAAATTTAATGGCAAATCATAATTATAAATTTATGTCTTAATGGTCCTGACTTTGGAAACTTTCCAAACTACAGTAACTTCTAATTAGCTCGTATTTTGTTAATGATCTAGAAAATATGGTTATTACAACCAAAAGTCTAATTGGAAAACATTAACTATGATATTAATATATTTTTTTTTATACTGATACGTTTCTTCATTGCTATTATATTACTCATAACGACGCTAGATATTTAATCACCGAACACTTATTATAAGTCGTATATAAATCTTATGAATACGTGAATAATAAGTTTCTTTTTCAAAAACAAAAAAAAAAATGTTATTATATAAATTGTTTAAATAAACTTATTTCTAGGGTTATAACTTAAATATAATTTTACTATACTAAATATATATTAAATAATTCATATTCGTTAAAAATTCATAAATATGCATTAAATTATTCTCTTTATATTTTTAAATTAAACACAATAAGTAAATAAGTATTTATTTTTTAGTATTTTTATCTTAATGTTACTGGAAATTGTTTCGATAAAATTTATAATGTTATTTTTTTCATGAAAGTATTTTTATTATAGACAATTTACATAAAAATAATTAAATATTTTTATTACATAAAGGAAAAATTGAAATTAAAAAATAAGCGTAAATTAGTTTTAAAACTCAAAAATATTTTAAAAAATTCAAGAACAAAAAATGTTTATTATGATTATATTTTTAGGATATTATCGATTATTAATCGACAATGTCCAAATATACTGTACTAGTTGAGTATAATAGAGAATAGTAAATGTCTATCATTGTGGAGTTATACTACAGGTAAATCTGTACTCAAAAAATATTCAATCATTTTATATGTAAGTTTGGAACAAATTAAAAAAATATATAACAAAGCAACTATCAATCCAAAGAATTGTGAGACTTGCATTTATCTACCCCAATCTATTAGATTTGTAAAATATGACTTAGCTATTGAATTATATTTAATACAAAACAATTTGTCATCGTACCTTAAATGACAATACTAAATAATAAGCACACAAGTGTATTAAACTTACAACACTAACATTACTAGTGCTATTTTACAGAATAAGATAAATAAGGTTAACATTTAAAAACCGGTTTTATTGTGTTATATACATTCGTTAGTTAAATTGAACGCCTAAAACAAAAATATTCACTCTTGTTATCGATTTAGTTTGATCTAACAAAGATTGAAGTTGTTTTCATATTTGATTATTTTCAATATTCCTAGTGAAAAATGGAACAATGGTCTGGAAAAATAGCTGTTGTAACTGGAGCTTCGACAGGAATAGGAGCTGAAATTTGTAAAAAATTGGTAGCGTCAGGAATGATTGTGATTGGATTAGCTAGGAGAGAAAACAAACTTAAGGTATATAGGTTTAAGTAAAATAAAATTTATAATGTCTATTGAAAAACAAATTATAAACGGAAATTCTTCATTTAAGTGTTTCTTGAATATATCTTATTATTAAAGATAAAATAATAATTCTTGTTAGCTTAAATGATAATATTTATCTCTTAATAATTATACTTACCATACGTAAGAAAAATTTATTACATCATTATTCATAATTCTTAGTTTTTTTGTTTAATTTTTATTTCACTATTAATTTATTATGTATGAGAATATTGCAATACTTAATTTCAATATACACCTTACATAAATTTCTTAGTTACAAAAAAAAAATTTATAAAATTTATATTTATTTTTACTTAGTATGTATATTATAATTATTTTTTAAATAAGTGTGAATCAAAATTAATATAATTTTTATAAATATTTTAATAGGTTTTTTTCTTTTAACACATATTTTTTGAAACCCCTATAAGTTATTCATTCTAGGTGAAATTAAACCTTTACATTAGACTAGGCCAAGCAAATTTTCTATCAAATTTCTGAATGAATTTTTTTTAATCATGATTTTTAGGTATGATTTTGTGAACTTGCAAGTTTTAGTCTCCCAACTAGGAAGATATAATTAATAGGTAGCGAGGTTCGATTCTGCTGTGCTGAGCTATGTATATTTTTATGACTTTTTTAACATAAGCATAGTTTTTCATAAAAGATGTTATAGATAAATTAATAATAAAATTATAAAAATCATTATATTAATTTATAATAAGGTTGAGAAGTATAGGCTTAGCACATGTTTAGGAAATTATAATAGTAGCTTTGCTAAACCTTATATACTATATTTCACTTCTAAAATGATATTATTAATCTATGTTATTAAAATTGGTATTTGTCTTTCTCATCTCTAATTTTTCTATATACATGGAGGAAATTGTATTAAAAATCGGGCCGAGCTCTATTTTAACCATTCAACTTATATTTATCAATATAATCGAATCATGTGAACAATATGTTTACAATAAGATAAATAAAATCTAATAGGAACTATAATAGGCAAAATATCTATCATTGTGTCAGTTATTTTGTTTAGATTACACAGTAATATAACAAATCAATGAAATAATAATTTATATAACAGGAGTTAGCTGTTACATTGAAAGGAGAATCAGGAGAATTCCATTATTTTCGAGTAGACTTGTGTCAAGAAGAAAATATTTTAGAAGCTTTTAAATGGATCAAACAGACATTCAAATGTATTGATGTATTAGTAAATAATGCTGGTGTTGCGAAAAATGCTGATCTGTTAAAAGGTAGACTATTTTATTACTAATTTATATATGTATCCTCAAAAATGGTATACAATAAGAATTTATTTATATAGGATCTAAATAACAAGATCATTTTTTTTTGTAAAAATAATTTTATTCCTAAAATTTAAAGATGAACTCGAGTCGTTTTACTCGACTATGTGTTAAATTAATTTGTTAATTGATTATTTGAAACTTAGAAGTAGTATTTGTAAATAATGTTTAATAAGTTATCTACCCGATATCATATATACAAACAATTTTGTCAATTATTTTTAATGGAAAAGTTTACATTCTGTGTGTTTAAATTATTTACTAGATAAAAATATTTTTCAAGCGGATGCAGTTTTGTGTTTACAACATATAAAATATTGTCATCATTTTTACATTTTTAGGGGATACTGCTGATTGGAAACTTATGTTTGACACTAATGTAATTGGTATGAGTATATGTACAAAAGAAGCAGTAAGAGTAATGAAAGAGTGTAGTATTGAAAAAGGTCATATTATAAATATTAACAGGTAATGATAATGATACAAAAATTAATAAAAAAAATTGAAGGGCGCCCATTAAAATAAATTTAGTATGCACATCAATTTATATTTATTTGGCTATTAATAAAGTCAAATAATTATAAATTATCAGAGAATTTTTAAATTATAAAATTAAACGCATCTTATTCATTTCTAAATTTAAAATTGCTCATTATTACTATCCATTTTATTTAAAGCTATACTTATTAAAGAATAAAAGAACGTTTAGTTTGACAGTATAGCTGTGTTATTTTTTATTCTTTGAGTATATAGCCATAAAACATGTCACTCGGTATAAATTATAAGTTGTTTGCAAAATATCAGAGAATATTATTTTCTCCGTTTTTATTATATTAATAGTTTAGAGAAAATTTCTCCAAAATGTAATGCTGTGCTTTTATTTTTAGTAATATTACTAACATTTAAAATCATATAAGTTGTTAATGTAAATTTGTACAAATTAAAAATTAATTTAAAATAATGTTTTAAATTTTTTATTTGTTTATTTACGTTTTTTGAAATAAATTTTTAGCTTGTTGGGCCATATTCAAGCTCCGGAATTTTTAAGTAACATAGCTATGTATGGTGCAACAAAGTTTTCCGTCACTGCTATCACCGGTAATTTAAGACAATTGATTGGAAAAGAAAAATTACCAATTAGAGTTACGGTACTGGAAATTTTATGTAAAATTAGAATTAAAACCTTGTGAAAATTAATCAATATTATGTCGTACATTAAAACAATTTCATGTAATAAATAGAGCTTTATTACGCCAAGACTATATTTTGTTTCAATTAATGTTCAGTATTATTTTTGGATTGGTGAAAAGGAAATCCGCTCGCAAAACCGGTTCTACGTTTAGTGTATGTGAAGAAATATACGCGAATGTGTTGGCGGTGCTTTTAGACATTTGCCTCTCACTACAAAAAGGCGACTATCCTAAACACAAGAAAGAGTTTGTGTATAATCACACCATAATTCATGGAATGTCTCTCGTGAGACAACTTAGTCTTTGAAGAGTCTTTTGTCAGTGTTTATCCGTGTACATAAATTTTTATTTTCTAATTGTTTACAAAGTTTATCTTGTAAATAGTTATAGTAAACTAAATATATCGTTACGTCGTGATCGGACACAAATAACATATTCCTTTTAAAAATGTGTTTACAATTACCTTATCCGTTTATATTACATTGCTTCAATTTATAATATTTATTCATGGATCAATTGTTATTAATTACTTTACTAAAATGAGATAACTAAAGTTTTTATTTTTAGAGTATTAGTCCAGGAGTTGTTGACACTGATATGCCTAAAGCAGCTCACGTTCCTGTTCCTGGTGGTTTGTTAAAAGGTGAAGATATTGCCGATGCCTTGTTATACGTTTTAGGAGCTCCACAACATGTTAATGTAAGATTATAGTGTTTTGTTTTTATCATTTGTTAGTGGGTGTAATTTCATCAACAAAAAAACCAGTAATTCATTATTTTAAAAATTAAATTAAAAGAAGGTTTATGACAATTGATTCAAAATAATAATAAAATAATTGTTTTTTTTTTTGCTTATTTTAAAACAAATTAATAAAAAAAGCAGAAGTGAGAAAATCTGGCATTTATAAAATACAGTGTAAAAATTGTGATAAATTTTACATAGGTCAAATATAAAAAAACGTAGGGGTCAGATTTGAAAAATATTTGACAAACATTTATAATTAAGAAGTTAATAATGTCCAATTGCTGAACATTTATTATAAAAGTAATTAAAAATGTAAATTATTACAATGAACTTAATATAAGGGAGGCAATTAAAAATTAAAAAAAAATAATAAATTATTTATTTAATTAAGATCTTGAAAAATTCATTATTAAATTAGTCTAAATCGTGAAAGTGTGACAATCGACAAGGTGATAATATTATTAGGGGTACATAAAGGAGTATTTTTCGATCAGTTATTAGAATATGTTTAGCGCTGATGAGAGTAACATTGTTCCTTGTATTACGTATTTGCAATTTTCAAGTATTTTTTGTGACTTATTGAGTTAAATATTTTAATGTTTTTTAGTTTTAAATTATTATTTTAAATAAGAAAATAAAATTTTTCTAGGTTGCTGAGCTTATTTTATTACCGTCAGAGAATAAAATAAAATAATTTGTGTCTTAATTACTATGATATGACATGAAGTATTATTATCATTAATTCTTTTGAATCTAAAGAATGAAAAAGAAAAGGAATAACACCGAAAATCTGTATGTACTTCATTGTAATACTAATACTTCAACGAATAAATTGTATTTACTTAATTTGTTTTGTGTTAATTAATTCAGTATCTTTGTATTGAAATAAAATCCATAAAATGTAAATAATGGTCATAGCCAGATTTGGTTGTTAGGCTGTAGGGTAATTATTTAAATGGGTTATATTGATTGTTGGTTGGTAATAATCGGGAAATCAAGGGCGGGATCAGGGGGGAATATCAGAAATTGAAACTCTCATTAAATTACAATTTGATAGGTACAATGAATTCCATTCCCCGTGAATAACCATTTATGTATGAAATTAAACTTAAACCAGTTTGTTATAATATGTTAGATCATTTTTAAAAGTTTGTTTAAAAACAAAATTTTCAAATGAATTTGTAAACTTTACAACAACTTTTTATAGTTCAAAGACTTGGCGGTACAAAATTTCAAATTAGAGTAAACATTTGAATATAAGGAACCAATAGATAGACGATATTTGAATTATTTTATAGAATAATATTGGTGGCCATATGAAAATAACTAACTTAATTGTTTGTCTTTTCTTTTTCTTAGGCACTCGAACTTAAGATTGTAGATTTACCATAGTAAATTTCTGGTACTAGATTAAGATAAATTTAGTTACAAATATTTGATAAAATATTTGTTATTAATTCGTTAAGTGATACCTCATGAATTCCTGGTATAAAATTTTTAATTAAGTTGTGAGACACGGCGTCATTCGCAATGGAGTAACAATTACTCTTCAAATGAAAAATCAGCGATTGCATAGCAATTTTATCTATTTAAAAATTTTATATCAGTTTGCTTTGAGTATTAAGACTGTAAATGTTATCATAATGTAAGTTATGACTATAACGACGCACTGCTATTAAAGTTGTCTGGGAGAGCGTTATTGCGTGTGGACATCAAGTTGTTCAAATGATATTACATACAAATATACATTAGTCCTTACGAAATTTGATACTAAGTATTGTAATATACAGACAGTTATAATAGTGTTATTAATTATAGTTAAATAAACATTATGTAATATTATTAAGGGGTCGGCCTGACTTTGTGAGTAGAAACATAGGTTTCGGTGCACAAGGTCCTGGGTTCAATTCCCAGGGTGCCAACAAGAATTTTCTTGCCATTTTCTCATTGGTAGTGTCTGGTCTCTGGTGCAAGTCGGCCATAATACCCGACATATCCTTCATTGGCTTAGCCAAGAACCATCTTTAAGCCCTTAACATGTGAGAAAGGGCCATCCCCTATGTAGCATGTTAAGTTCGAGAAGTATAGGGATGTAAAACTGATCATTATGTAAAATTATTATTCATTAATTATATTGAAGGAAACCGTTTTGTCGTAAACAACATATCTTGTTGTTTAAGATTAATAAAACTATTGGAAAATAATTATTTGATTATAACGACTTATTACAATGTTTTCAATTCATTATTGATGAGTTTTACGTCATATGTGAATTCATATCAAAAAACATTAATCAAGTTTGACAGATTAAATACGTCTAATTAGTTTATAATATATTAGGAAAATTTAAAGTAAAAATATTGTATTAATTATGTTATTTGTAGGTCGTAATATACACTTCTTATACTGTGGATTATTTTATATACATGTTTTATTAATCAATTGTAAATAAAGTATAAAATTACATGTACATATATTACAGTTTGATATGTAAAAACTAGTAAATGGGTGTAACCAAATTGTTTCCTGGTATAGTAGTTAAAACAAATAATCATTATCAAATAATATTAGGTACTTAGTCAATATTTAATGCTATGACTTGCATTTATGGACGTTATAATCATTATTTTATCGCGTATATAAATAGGTTGAGTTTAATAAACATTGGCAATGAACAAAAAACGTTAGTTCTATTTCTTCTAATGCTTCATAACATATTTATTTACTTCGAGCGTTAGTTAAAAAGTAAAAACTCCAAAGAATAATGGACAAGTGGATAGGAAAAGTTGCTATTGTAACTGGAGCTTCATCAGGCATAGGTGCTGCTGCTTGTAAAAAATTAGTTCAATCTGGAATGATTGTTGTTGGGTTTGCAAGAAGAGAAAACAATCTTAAAGTAATTTTTTTTCAAAAATATCCCACGTAACCTTTTTATTTTGAACTTTTTCTTCGCTATATTAACATTTTAGAACTAACTTTTACGAATTTATTGTAATCATAAAATAAAATAAAAAATCGTTCGTTAAATAAAAAATCCTACGAATTGTAGAGTTTGGCTGATGAGTTGAAGGGACAATTAGGAGAATTTCATTATTATAAAGTAGACGTATGTAACGAATACAACATTTTGGAAGCCTTTGAATGGATAAAACGAACATTCAAGTCCGTTGACGTATTGATTAACAATGCTGCAGTACTAAAATATTCTAGTTTATTAGAAGGTATATAATTATTATTACAATTGTTAATATTTTATTTATCAAATAGTGTGATATATGTGAATAATTTCTGTAGTCGGTTTTTATAATTTCTTATCTTTTATACCGACGGAATCATACAACTGTCAATATAAATGGTCTTCTCTGAAGCAATAAAATATCTTATTTCATAAGATAGTTTTTGTTCTACATATTTGACAAAATTAGTATTTTTAAAATTTACCCATACATTTTAGTAGATCATTTAATATACTAATTAAATTTTATATAATTTTAAATTTATTGAAGAGATTACATGGTTTTACATAAATTTTTTTAAATATATATGTAAATATTTTAGTTTAATAGTCAAAGATAAAAATGGAGTCATGAAAATACTTAATAAATTTGAAATATATAAACCAATACATTAATTAAAGATTTTACAAAACGATAAACAGCAGGTCTTAATTATTGATTATCAACGGATCCATCTGCCTTACATTATTTTGGGCGTAAATAATTTTTATTTTTTTTAAAATTATATTACAACTAGGCTTCGCCTAGCTGGCCGAATCCGGTTTTTTGCAGGCCACATTTGTTTACTGCGCGTTAAGCTGTTTGGGTGTCCTCATAGGCCACTGATTTCAGTACTCGGCTACGCGTTTGGACACATTGTGTTTATAACATCAAAAGCAATTCACCAGTAGTTAGTTCCAAATATATATTAAATGATAATTAAAATAATAATAATATGACTACAAAATACTTAGGTATATTCACAATTGTACTTTATAGTGACCTACTAATTATTATTTAAAATAAAAATTTTTCTCACCGTGAATAATTTTCCTAGAATAACGTTGTTGAGCTCTTTCATTAAAAATTTTTGAAAATGGAACATCGAATGCAATTTTTCAATGTTTTATTATGCAATAAGATTCGGAAAATTGTAAGAAAAAAAGTCTACAATATTAAATGGTGGCATTTAATCACAATGATATATTGAATTTTTTGATTAATTATTGAACTATTTGAAAAATTCTTAAAATTATTGTTTGAATGTTTTTTTTTTTGAGTGTCTTAGATATTTATTATTCATGGTATTTCTTTAAAAATAAATTTAGACAAGATGTCTAATGAGTGAGGAATTCGGTTGATTGTTAAGAATAATGATAGCAACAGAAGTCTTTTCCCCATTTTTTAGAACCTTGTACATTAAATAAAAATCGTGTTTTGTAAAATTAAATACATTTTATTGATAATTATAAAAAAAAAATGACAATTACAATTAATTGACAAATATATAGGATTATCTGTTTTTTTTTTTACTTAACAGGAAGTACTAGTACTTCCTGTTAAGTAATTTTCAGTTTTTAGAGATTGAAAATTAATTAATGCCATTATGTGCCAAATTATCATTGAATAATATATTTCTGTGTACTAAATATTTATCAAGGTTTTAAGTCACTTAATAAGTGTTCACTGATAAATTAAATTTTATGAGGAAAAACAGTTCATCCAATTGTAGTTTATTTAAGTATACTATGTTATCAAATAGAACCTTACAAAATAAATAATTATTTAAATTACAGTTCGCTACTATCATTAAGTACCAACACATGGTTAATTCCATATATTGACTTAAAAAAATGATCAAATTATTCACATAATACATAAATACGCTTATAAGTAATATAATGAATTACATACTACAATGTTCCTAATTTTTAATGCTAATTTCTAACAAAACAAATCTAAATTAGATTGTAAAAACAAAAAATAGTTTAATTAAAAATTTAATTTCTATTTACCAGAACACAATTTATAATATTCTCTAAAATAAAAAAGTATTGTAAATATTATTTGCGTTTTTATTAAAGATATGAGTTTGGGTGTTTCTCAATGAGAATTCTTAATGAAAATCTTGTTAAAAATCTTTAGAATACTTTTTCATATACAATAGATATAAAATAAAATAAATATCTTATTTTGTGAAATTGAAGGAAATTTATTGATATTATTGTAACTTAAATTATTTCTGAACTGTTGTTTTTACTTGACAGGAAGTACTGAAGATTGGAAATTAATGTATGAAACTAATGTTATTGGTTCGAGTATTTGTTCTCGTGAAGCTGTAAAATTAATAAAAGAATTTTCTCTCGAAAAGGGGCATATAATAAATATAAACAGGTCGGGCATATTATAAATACAAGATGTTTTATAAAATATTAATATTAAAGTTTTAAAATTTATAAAACGATATTTTAAAAACATTAACATCAAAAATATTTATAAATATATATAATCAATTTTTTTGATTTACAGCGTTTCAGGACATTTTCGTATTCCTATTACTACTATAGGTAATGGTGGTTCAACATATTTTGCTACAAAAGTTTCTTTGGCTTCAATAACAGAAAGCTTAAGAGAATCAATCTGCCAGCAAAACTTGCCTATCAGAGTTACAGTAAGCATATTAAATTACTTAATATTGTTTGATAATTTTTGTTATTTATAGTTTAGTAAAATAATTAACGTACTAATTAATCGAATCAGAATTCATGGTATACAACATTTTTTATGAGAAAAAGAAAAACATTTTTGTTGTATATTTTTTTATTTAACTTAGTTTTTATTAATCTTTTTTTTTGCTCAAAATGTCTCTAAAAATATATTTTTGGTAAAATAGTTCATGGTCGTATAAAATGTTTGGGGACGCTCACGCTCCTTATTCTTCCATAAGTACACTAACGAATCCAATAAATGGTTGCATTTGATTTCATAATATTTATTTAATTATTTTTTACATGTTATTCTATAAATAGAGTATTAGTCCAGGAGTTGTTATAACCGAAATGACTGCAGGGAATGAAGCACTTGATACTTATAATAAATTAAAAGCCGAAGATATTGCTGATGCTATATTATATGCACTTGGTGCTCCACAACATGTCAATGTAAGTCTATTCTAATTTTCAAATAAACTATCAATAAATCGTGTAACGCATAAATAACATTCCATTCTCTTATGAAAATTGAGAATATTTATAGTTTCAATAAAAAAAAAAAAAGCAGGAGACAATTAATTAATCTTTAAATTTGTTTTTAAGATTATGTTCGAATTTCGTTTAGTTTACTTTGAATAAAATGATCTAAGTTTAAATTAAAGTTTTTCTTTTTTTATTGTTTTTAAATAAGTATTTAATTTAAAATAATTTAATATGTTCATAACTGACAAAGTTTTGCAAGATATTAATTCCTATATAGCCATTTAATAAATAAAAGTATATGAGAAAGTTGATAAAACTATATCAGGAATTAAAAATTTTAAACATTTAAATTAAGATTTTAAAATTATTTTTAGTATATAACTATAAAGTTAAGTGATAATTTTTTTCAGGTGTGTGAATTAATTATAAGACCAACTGGAGAATTTTTCGTTTAGTAAAAAATTTGTTTTGCTGTCGCTCAAAAATATTGATTTTAAGATTTAAAAATGTTTTCAAAATATAATATAAAAAAATAATTTTTAGTGAACTCATTATTTGTATAAGTCAAAATATTATAAATAATAAAATGTCTATTTGTTTTTTCATTTTAAAAGATAAAAAATTTTAAATTAATATTTTGTAAGTGTTTTTTGTCAAGAAATTCTCAGTACATTCCTCATTTGATTTCAACATTTTTATGTCTATCAAAATTCTTAATTAAATTATTTTAATTAATTGTTGACATGTTAAATATGTAAGTTGTAATTAAAAGCCTCTCTCTAAAGGGACATAAGTAAAGTACGAAAAGTAGAGTACGAGTTTGACAAAGAAGAACACGAGGTAGGGGAAATGAAGAGATCAGTGACAATAAGCGACGATGTGATAGAAGAGTTAGAAAGTTTTAAATATTTAGAATCAGTTGGGCAAAAAATTGTGGTATTGGCGAGGATACGAGACACAGGTTTAAGTGCGGGTGGGTGAAGTGAGGAGAAGCGTCTGATGTGTTACGCGATAAATGAATTCCAATGTGGCTAAAAGGTAAGTTCTATAAGACTGTAGTAAGACCAGCTATGATGTATGGTTCAGAGTGTTGGGAGATTGACAAGAGAATGAGTGTAGCAGAGATAAAAATGCTTAGATAGATGAGTGGAGCAACTAGAAAAGATAGGATAAGGAACGAATATATAGGAGGGATTATAGGTTTAGCGTTAATCGTGGATAATATGAAAGGAAATAGACTTGGATGGTTTGGTCATGTTATAAGAATAGAGAAATCAGGAGCTGCAAGAACAGTTATAGAAATGAATGTTGAAGGAAGAAGAAGAAGCTCAAAAAATATATGAAAGGATGTTACTTAATGTTTTATGAAGACGGTTGATGTGTGCGTAGATGATGTGCGAGATCACGTGAAATGGAAGTTTAGGACAAAGGTGGCTCACCCCAAATAGTTAGGATAAAAGAGAGAAAAAATGTGAAGAATATTTATATATATATTTATTATATAGTTTCAATGTACTTGAAATTTAAATAAAAACTGTGCTAAGATATGAGTCATATTGTCCGAATTCAACATACATGTGTTATAATAATTATTTTAATTAAATTTCTTAAAATTAATTAGCAGTAGACTTCTATTTATCATTTTAATTTTTTACTTAACATAATTTCTTTATTAATTTCCTAAAAATTGCTTTTATTTTATACAAATTATCTGAATAAAGCAATATGTACATTAAACCTAATCATTTTGAAATAAATGAGCTCTTTAAAATACATTTATTATGTTACAAATAAGAAAATTTCTATTAATTTTTTAAATGAATTAATAACTAAGATGGTGTCATAGGTATTAATTTGTCATTATGGCGTGACAAATATTAAAAAGTGACGTCTAAATTTTATAACAGTTTCATTATTTTATACCCTCTAATTTATAATAAGTGGAGGCAACACTTATTTTGAGCTACTTCGACTACTGGTCGTATACAACGTAGGTCATACAATTTCTATGTTGTAAAAGTGATAATTTTTATGTTAACAGTTACGTTATGGAGAATGTTCATCTTGACAAGTCATAGCTTGGACGCTGCATGCTGTCCAAGCGATAACATGTCAAATTGTATCCTATGCACGTTTAAACCCTCTAGTACATTCTTGATTTCATGATTACCACCACCCTTTAAACACATAGGTTCATCTGAATTACAGTCTCTAAGTACTAAATTTGGCTATAGGAATAATATATACTATTAAATATAAAGATAATTGCACGTTTTTTGAAATTGTTTCTTATATTTTATTTTTTTAGCGTATATTAGTTTAAATATTACAAGAGGATCCGATATAATATTATCCTATTTTATATAAAAATTCATATGATTTCTTAATAAAAGGTTGTAAAAATTAGTCATTCACTAAAGGTTTATATTGATAAACAAAAAATAAAAAACTGATGATTATACAATTTGAAACTAAAAAACATAATCTTTCGATATTTTTTCGATAAATATTCAGTATTTGGTTACGCTGCGGAGTGTAACAAAAACGGTTAACACACATAAATTGGCTTTTTCTACGAAAATAGCAATAATTATTATAAAAAATGTAATGTTAAGATAAAATTTAAGAACTTTAAGGATTATAATATTTACAATATAAAAGATTTCACTTAAACCGAAACTAAATTACAATTAAACTTTAGATTATAAATGCAGAATACATTTAACTTTATATTTCCAAAATAATTAGAAAAAGTTTGTTCTTATCTTATTTATTGCATATTTTGGAATATCTAATCATATACCGTTATTCTAAACACTCTTTTTAAAGTTAATTCTCAATAATTGATCAAAATTGACATTTTCTATAAATTCTAATTAGATGAGAACTATATTATTAGTATTTTAACCTTAAGTTTTGCAACTTTTGTCTAAAGTCCCTTATTTTAATTATTAATATCCGTTTATGCAAATTCCGAAAAGAAATCCGGAAAGGTATTGTTAATTGTAAAAAATTAGTTGAATCTGGATTGATTGTGGTGGGTTTTTAATGTACCTAATTTTTAAAGATAATTTCTAACAAAACAAATCTAAATTAGATTGTAAAATGAACAATGGTTCATTTAAACATTTAGGTTCTAATTACCAGAACACAATTTATAGTATTCTCTAAATTAAAAAAATATTGTGAGTATTATTAGTATTATGTTTATTAAAGATATGAGTTTCGATGTTTCCTAATGAGAAAATCTTGTTAAAATCTTTAGAACTCTTTTTCATAAGTATTAGATGTAAAATAAAAAAAAATAGATGAAACAATTATAGATGATATCTGGCAGTGAATAAAATCACCATCATAAGAAACGCTTCAATGCAAAACTGAAGATAGTGTTCAATTACAAAAAATTGGTGGATTATTCTAAAAACAGAATGAACTCCTATTTCCTTATTTATATCCTGATTACAAGTTTTATGATATATAAGTGTTACATAAGAATAAATATTTATTATTAAATATTATATTATTAAATTAATGAAAGAATTTTTCTTCAAAAATGGTCAAATAAATATATATAAACGGTCAGCTAAGATAGTGCTAAGCTAATTAGGAAAAATAAAGATCCTTTATTACCTATTCAAAGTAATTTATTTTAAAGATTTTTAAATCAAATGATATAATTTAAAATATAATAATATTATTTATCCATAATTGGTTCAGGAATTTTTAACAATGTTATAGAACTACTTTCTAAATAAATATAAATTATTGATGTTTTCCTTAGGATGCTGTACAATTAACTTTATGACGTTTGATTGACATTTAAAATGGAAACTAATTAGCTCTAAAAATATAAATATATAAGCAATTTATTAAACTTACATAATTTTAGGACATTTTCGTGTTTCTGTTACGATAGGTAATGACGGTACAAAATATTTCGATACAAAGGTTTCTTTGACTTCAATAACAGAAAGTCAGTTAAAAATTTACATACTTTTTATTTTTTTTACGAGATGATTTAACTACCGGGTGTCCAATCATTTTCTGACATCTTAATAAATTTTTATCCAGCGGATACTTTCTTTTTTCTAATAATTTTTACAGTTTTGAACAATGTTAAAATCATATTTTTTTATTATTTCTCTCTAATAATAATAATATAAAAAAAAATAATAAAATGTTTAATGTTTTTGATATTTTAAATAAACTATTTTTTAGTAATTTTCTTACAAAAAATCCAGGATTCTTTCCACTAAAACCTCTTTTTCCATATACTCTTTCATATTCTCTCCTCTTATTACCGTCATGTCCATTCATATTTGCATCAATCACTACATCTTATTACCATACATTCCTTGCATCCGCCTCATCCATCTTTTTCCAAAACACTTCTTTGTTTATTTTATCACATCCTATTTATGGTACATATGCAATTACTACATCCAACACTTTTTCTTCGATAATTAATTTTACTATTATAATTCTGTCACTTTTCCTAACTACTTCTTTTATTTTACTTTTCATTATTATCCCTATACTATTCTTGGTATTGGTCTTATCTGAGTATATTATTTTATAACCATCGTCTATTTCCCTTACGCTTAGTTTCCTGCACACAATAAATATTAACTTTTCACCTCTTCAAAACTGCTATTAATTCTCTACTTCTACCAGTTTATGTTCTAACATTCCACGTACCTATTCTTACTTTGTATCTATATTTTTCACTTCTTCATAAGTCTAGCCTACAGTTCAGTGATGATGTCCCTATACCGTTGACATTACAAACGTTGGTGCACATGGTGAAACAGCTACTGCACAAGTCATCCGGCTGGTATTAAACACCTCATCCTATAGGCCTTCTTTGTTTCTAACTTATTTATTGCCTCTCACTTGTTGTCCATGCGTACATCCGTGATGGAACAATCCGTTATACTATTGGCAAAATTTTACACACACTTGAAGCAATTTCATTAGGCCAAATAACCTTAAAAGCAACCATGTAATACGGTCCCACTTATAAAAAACACGGATAAAATAGGTACAAAATGAATATAATTTGTAATTTTTGTGTTGTTAGAGGTTTATGTATTTATAATTTTTTGGCAATTGAAATTTGGCGCTGTATATACCTCTAATTTTATTTTAGCCTTGTGAGCTTATAAAAGTATTTGTCATTTTTTTTTAACTAAAACGTCTCATTGCCTTTACTTATACCAAATCTCAATTAAATAATGTAAAGGACATAATTTTATAATGTGTTATGATATTTTAGATCAAAGAAAAATTATTCCCATTACAATATTTTTAGTAATTTCAAAATATAATTGATTTTTATTTAATTGCTCAATAAAAAATATAGCATCATTTTCAAAACTATACGAGAAAGACTTAATAGCCTTAAACCTTACCTCAGTAAGATCCCCTTTCCCAGTTTAGCTTTAAAAACAACTATTCTATATGTCATCAACTACAACGATTAAACAGAAATTATTGTCAGTGGTTTTGAAAACAAAAAAAAAATACAACAGCAGTATTTCTTGACATAACTCAAGCATTTGTCAAAGTATAGAATGACGGATTGTTACACAAATTAAAATCATTATACATATCAGGATATCTACTCAAAACTTCA